GGGGGAGAGAAGATGGGAGGCGACTGCTGATGCTGCAGACACACAAACGAGCTGCTGGCTCAGTGGCTACCGGAACAGCGCTCCGGACTACTGGAGTAACTGGCCCCGCAGCTAAAGTAGCGGCAGACGAGAAACGGACCCACGGGCGACTGGCGACTACCGGAGATTGTAGCCTCCGAACTGCTGCTGCTGCTGACGACAAGACTGGTGCCTCCACTCAACCTTCCCTAGCTGCCCAACGCCCCTCTCATGCACCCACTGCTACACCCCTAACTCCACTCCCCCTTCACCCCCCCTTAGTACCTCTCCACCGGCTCCAACAAGTCCACCCCCCCTCAGCGGCAGCTGCAGCACAAGGAGACGGAGGAGGAGGAGGAGGAGCAGGGGAGACCACACACGCGCCACCCCCCAGGTCGCGGCCCCCGAAGGAGCCGCGACGGGCGACGGGAAAAGGGGGGGGGGGGGGGGGGGGGGAGGAGGCGGTGCCGTAGGTAGGGCGGCGGGGCCGGGGCCGAGGCGCAGGTAGGGCGACGGGGCCGGGGCCGGGGCCGCAGGTAGGGCGACGGGCCGCAGGTAGGGCGGTGGGACGACGGGGCCGCTGGCGGCGGTTCGGGGCCGATAGGAGCGGTGACGGAGGGCGACGCGCGCCCCCCCCCCCCCCCCCCCCCCCCTGTCGCAGCGCCTCCCGGGGGCGACACGCCGAGAGACGGGGTAGAAACCCGTCGCGCGCCTCGGGGCGCACGTCAGGCAGAAAACCGCCGCGCGCCTTGGGGCGCACGGCGGGCAGTAAACCGCCGCGTGCCACGGGGCGCACGGCGGGCAGAAAGCCGCCGCGCGCCTCGGGGTGCACGGTGGGAAGAAAAAGTGCCGCACGTCACTGGGTGTGCGGCACAGAGAGTAGCAGAAGGAGTTGCAGCAGAAGCAACGAGGTGGTGAGCCCACCCACAGGATCGATCCAAGGGGATCGACCTGCTCTGATAACTTGTGAAAGTTTAGAAGAAAGAAGAGGGTTGCACTAGCAAGAATGAGGATACAAATAGTAAACCCTAGAAGGGTTGTACTCGCTATATAGCACCCCACTACAGGCTAGAGCATAAGATTCTGACACGCCTAGTGCACACGCCCTTAGCAAATCTCTATGCAGGCCGAGAGCAGCGTGTAGAGTGTTTCGCTTACCGTCTTAGGAGGAAATTTGTACCAAAAAGAAATTGCAGGTACAAAATACTGCAAAAGGTAACTAAGTGACTTACAACATAAACAAATCGTCTCAACAAAGCGTACCTCATGTTGTGTGAATCAACCTTAATAAAACAAAGTTATGGTTTAGAATGACAACTAAACAATGTGAGCAAAAAAAAAAAAAAAAAAAAACAACAACAACAACAACAACAACAACAACAACAACAACAACAACAACAACAACAACAACAACAACAACAACAACAACAACAACAACAACAACAACAAATATATATATGTATATAACGCATTTTTGCCCATATCTGTTCCCGAATACCAGAGCCTTAAAACCATAGCAAACCATCATGCAATTCCCTGAATTTTAGAGGGATTCTGGAATAGGTGTGCTGAGGGTCCCCTCTGAAAATCATCCCATTTGCCCAAGAAGTGGGTGATTCCACCTGCAACCTGATTCCAGGCAATTCTGCCCAGAATTCTGCAGTCTGCAGCAGAACAAGGCTTGAAAACCATAGCAAACCTTGGGAAAAGGAAATGAATTTCACAGGGGAGTATGGAATAAGTGTGATGAGGGTCCCCTCTGAAAATCATCCCATTTGCCCAAGGAGAAGTGGGTGATTCCACCTGCAACCTGATTCCAGGCATTTCTGCACAGAATTCTGCAGGCTGCTGCAGAACAAGACTTGAAAACCATAGCAAAACTTGGGCAAATGAGGTGAATTTCAGAGGCAAGTCTGGAATAGGTGTGATGAGGGTCCCCTCTGAAAATCATCCCATTTTCCGAAGGAGAAATGGGCGGTTCCAACTGCAACCTGATTCCAGGCATTTCTGCACAAAATTCTGCAGTCTGCTGCAGAACAAGGCTTGAAAACCATAGCAAACCTTGGGCAAATGTGGTAAATTTCAGAGGGAAGTCTGGAATATTTGTGATGAGGGTCCCCTCTGAAAATCATCTCATTTTCCCAAGGAGAAGTGGGTGATTCTACCTGCAACCTGATTCCAGGCAATTCTGTCCAGAATTTTGCAGTCTGCAGCAGAACAAGGCTTGAAAACCATAGCAAAACTTGGGCAAATGAGGTGAATTTCAAAGGGGGGTCTGGAATATTTGTGATGAGGGTCCCCTCTGAAAATCATCCCATTTGCCCAAGAAGAATTGGGTGATTCCACCTGCAACCTGATTCCAGGCATTTCTGCACAGAATTCTGCAGTCTGCTGCAGATCAACGCTTTAAAACCATAGCAAAACTTGGGCAAATGAGGTGAATTTCAGAGGGGAGTCTTTAATAGGTGTGATGAGGGTCCCCTATCAAAATCAGGTCAAATGCCCAAGGAGAAGTGGTTGATTTCACTTGAAACATCACACCAGGTAATTCTGTACTGAATTTCTAGCACAGAAAACCCACCTATGGTGTGTGCACTGAGCTGTGAATGATGTGGGGGCCTGGAACAGGTGCCATAACACTAAAAAACCAAAAACAAATGGTCACACCATAACACATGTGCATGATATCCATAAAATGACATTGCAACTGCTAGAAGCAACCTTAGTTGAGCCAAAAGTGACAGAATCAATGATTTTGTCCAAAATAACAAATACATGCTAGCTTGAAGAGGACATCAAGGAGGTCCAGGAAATCTAGGTTTCATTCAAACTGAACCACAAATATCAGAGTTATGAGTCAAACCATGGGGAGTTTGTAAGCCATTTTTACATTCTGTTTGTCAGAATTACAACCATGTGTATACTACAACTTTTATACACACACATTGCTAAACAGTTGTTGCTACGTCAATTTAGACCAACCGTCGATGATCGCCCACCGGCGGTGTTACTCCGCCTGCGACATTTCGTTGCGACTTCAGGTGGTTTGGATTTTGGAGGGGGAGGTTTGAGGTAAGGCGGAAACGGAAGGTTCAGAAGCGACTCGAGTCAGCTTCGGTTTCGTCAAATCAGGCGTGCCAACTCCCCTTCATGTTCGGGGCTTCGTAAGATACCTACGTGACCCCTGATATGTCGCCTCTGCTAACCAAACCCGAACGTACAGAGCGCCGAAGTCTGCGCCAGCCTACCTAGCCGAACCTCGTGGCGCGACTGTTGTATTGGGGTGCATTTTTGCCAAGATTTCTGCAAACTCGGAACCTCGCAGAATTCAGAGCTTCGCACAATGCCATAGCGACAAGAACGAGGCTGGTAACCATATAAAGTTTGCTCCCAGCAGGCAAAACCAAATTTTAACTTATCCGCATAAGTAGTCTTTCTTTCCCCTCAATCGCCTTGAGGAGCCGCTGAGCGACAGCTAAGTAAAATCCATCGACCCTCGCTCGTGGTTTTCACGCTAGAGGCTTCAGAAGTAGGATCTGCTCTGCGTTGTCGGGCTATTTTTGAGGCGCCTAAGAATCAGACGCTATGCTTCACTGTCGTTTCTACCATGTTTAGTCGACGTGATGGGTGCTTGAGCAATCGGCTCTGCGCGCTTATGCTCTTCCTGCCGACGTGTTTCGCCGCAGTCCGCAATGTGACTATTCGCCCCTCCTAAGATCCGTGTAGTGCTTTCATCTCGCCATTCCTTTCCGCCATTTCGCCAGGTCACACCGTAATTCCACCGCGTCGCGCTGCGATGTCGTCATGCCACGCCGCCAATTCACATGTCACGCTGCCATTTCGTCATGTCACATCGTCATTTCGCCGCGTCCCGCTACCCTGTCGCCATGTTATGCCTCCATTTCGCATGTCACGCCGCCACTTTGCCATTTCAGTTCGCCTTCAGTTCGCCTCGTCGCTTCCCCTCGTCGCACCGCCATTTCGTCGTCTCTTCAGCTCTTCCCGTTCCACCCGCCGCCGTCTCACTAGCTTGCATCTGGAGTCCGCTGTGTGTTGACGTTGTGGCCATATCATGGTCTGGTGGTCCGGCGGCGCTATGGTCTTTTCTCCTGCGCTCGGATCTGGTCTGGTCTGGTCCGGTTCGCTCTAGTCGTGTTCGCTCTGCTGTGATGTTTGCTTGCCAGCAGGTGAGAGGAGTGAGGCGGGAGGTGAGTGATTTGGCAGCAGCACGGAAGCTGTAACGAGGCGATCGCTGGGCAGGCAAAGGAAGAAACATACTGTGTTGCTGCTCTCTTGCGCAGGGGTCTCATGACCCTTCAACTCTGTCTTTAGCCCTTTCCCTAAACCCTGTGCAGCAGGCGTGCCAGCATGCGTGGGGGAGGGCGTTCGAGGGGTGGCAAGTGGAAGCAATCTGTGCACCGTTTGGGCCGGCTCCGCATGCTCAGTCAGAAGATTGAGCGCTGCGACAACCGGCGCCTCTAAATTGATGTTGCCTGTTCCAGTGTCTCGCGAAACGCGCCTTGCTGAAAATGACGATGCCGCCACGCGCAGCTCAGAATTGAAATGGAAGCAAAGACCTGGGGGAGCGACTCTTTGAAATGGAGCTTGATGGGTTTTGAATGCCGCGCGTCGCAGCGCCACTGAGGCACCATGCACTTGCAATCGACCCGATGCACCGCGTTTCCCAAGTGGCACTTGGCAACAACGAGCTGGGGTACAGCCTAGAACGGGAACCTTGATGCGCCTCGATTTCTCTCCAGTGCTCTTCGCAGCAACGAGCTGGGGTGGAGCCCGAAGCCTCGATGCGCTGCGTTTTCCCCACGGCGCGCCGCTCGTGCGCGAGATGGTTTAGAAGCGGGCGTGCGATGGTGATGCCTGACAACAGGGACGGGCTAAGGACTGCGATGGAGAGATCTGAGAGAAGGAAACGGTAAGATGAATTAATGGACGGGATTGCGAGGCACACGCAGCGCGTCTCATGCATGACGCAGTCATGCCTCTTTCTCCCCCTGCCTGCTTCTCGCCCCCGTCAAGCCCCCAACACCGTCTATCCACTTCTAAATCTTCCTTGTCGGTTTCCCATGCTCTGAATCATGATTTCCTTTTCAGGTATCCCTTGGCTCTTGTGGCATCACTCAGTCCTCATCCTCTCCCTCCCCCCTCCCTCTGCTGTGGAATGGTGCCCATCTGTTTGGTAAGAAGCGCGTAGATCCCGACTGGCACCTGATTCTCCTCCCATGAGTCCCACCCCTCATCGTTCACCCTTGCCTTAGTCCAACTGTACCTACTTCCACGAGCACAGCGCTCCGCCTGTCTACTCTTTTCCTCTCGTGCCTCTACCTTTCCAGCAATCTGCTGCTCTCCAACGGTTGTTATTCCTACAAGTCATCCAAAGCAACTTTACCTGCCCCCCTCCACTCCCCCACCCCTTCGTGTTCCCCCCCCGGTCGCCTCCCCTCTCTTTCTACCCCCCTTTCCCCTTCCTCCCACCACCTGCTTCCTGTTTCCCACCCTCAACCCTCCCTTGTTCTCCCAGACTCTCACCCCTTAGCCTGAGTTGCTCCTCCTACAACCTTCCCTTCTCTCATCTCTCCCACCAACGCCCTGTACCGCCGCTCATCATCCCCCTTACACCAGGACTCGGTAGTGGAGTGGCACTGGTATACAGCAGTGCCGCCAGCTCCTACACTGCACCCCGGCTTCTCTCCTGCTCCTCCGCTACCCCTCCATTTTCCACAACGGCCTTCCAGCAGGCCATGCCTCTCGGGTGCGTCTCACTCACCCCCACTCTCTCACAAGCTTTAGCTGGATGGGGAGATGTGTGGGGAGAAATAAGTGTGGGAGGGCAGGGCAGGCAGGGGTGGAGAGAGGCGAGGTGGTGGTGCCTTGGACTTATATAGAAAGCGAGACGGAAGGGGGATGCAGATTTACTTCTAGTAACAGGTAGGTACTGTGATCGTTCACTGTCCCCTGCATCTGCACTGTATGGGGTACATATGATACATATAATCCACGCATACTGTAGGGATACACTGTCGCTCTCAGGCGGCGCCGCCTCTGGCTGTACATATTGATTTCCAGTACCAGGTAGCTACTGTGATGGTTCACTATGTGTACACATATCCCATTTACAGAATGGCAGATGATTGTTGTTGCTGCCTTTCCCTCCCCTCCACCTCCCTCCCATCCTTCCTCTCCTTTTCCGGTCTCCCACTCACCTAATGTGCATCGGAGCTGCCAGTGTGTTTCTGACCTTATGCCTGCCTGCCTCGATTGCTGTCCTCTTTGTATTATCTCTTCCCCTCCCCTCCATCCCTTTCACTCACACCCAGCTAATGTGCCTCGGTCGGTGCAGACATTATGCTCGTGTGCTCATGCCTTTGTCCCGTACTGCCCTGCTTTCGTACCCCTTCCGCTCCCCCGCGCATCTTTCCTTCCTTCCCTCCCCTCCCCTCCCTCTTGTACAAAGCAGCTCATGCCCCACTGGTGCTGACAGTGTCTTGGTGGGCATGTGGCATGACCTGCCAGAGACGCCGAGGCAGGAAGAGCAGCTGAGGCGAGCCAAGGTGGCAGCAGAGGCGGCAAGCGACGCCAAGAGCATCGTTTTGAGGAATATGAGGCACGAGATTTGCACCCCGATGCATGGTGAGCAGGGTGGGTGGGTGGATGGGTGGGGGCGATGCGTGCATGTGCATGGTGCATGCATGGTTTGCAGTGCATGCATGGTCTGCAGTGCATGCATGGTCTGCAGTGCATGGTCTGCAGTGCATGGTTTGTGCATGGCGGTTCTGGTGGCCATATGCCACGAGTGCATGGTTGACGGGAGGTACCTTTTATTTATTTGATATACCAAGCAACAACCCCCTCCCCCCATCGTTTGGTCCCCTTTCCCTCCTCGTTTCCTCCCCTTTCCCTCCCCTCTCCCTCCCCCCCCCCCACCCTTATATCCCTTTCCCTCCCCCTCCCCTTCTTCTCCCCTTCCCCTCCCCTTCCCCTCCCCTTCACCTCCCCTTTCCCTCCCCGTCCCTTCCCGCTCCCCTCCTCTTCCCCTCCCCTTCCAATCCCCATCACCTCCCCATTCCCTGCCCATTCCCTGCCCATTCCCTGCCCATTCCCTGCCCATTCCCTGCCCATTCTCTTCCCATTCTCTTCCCATTCTCTTCCCATTCCCTTCCCATCCCTTCCCATTCCCTGCCCATTCCCTGCCCATTCCCTGCCCATTCCCTGCCCATTCCCTGCCCTTCCCCCCCCCCATCCCTCTCATCAAATTCACCTGAATCAGCTCCTAACAGTCCAAGATGGAGAGGCGAGGCGAGGCAAGGTGAGAAGAGAAGCGGCAAGGGACGCCAAGGTCCCACATCCCCATGAATGGTGAACAAGGTGGCTGGATGGCTGGATGGCTGCCTGCTCTGCTATGTGCGCATGGCCATGGTGAACGGGGTGGGTGGGTGGATGGGTGGGAACGATGCATGCATGTGCATATAGTGTGCATGCATGGTGTGGTGTGTGCATGGTGTGTGATTCGTGTGAATGGTTTGCACTGCAAGGTCTTACATGGCGATTGTGGTGGGCATAAGGCACCACTGCGTGGCTGACTGAAAGGTTCCTTCCTTTCATTTTATAATCCAGCCAATAACCCCGTTCTCCTCGTTCCCCTGACCCGTTCCCTCCCCTTCCCCTCTCCTTTCCATCTACTTCCTGTCTGTCGCTTTGGCCTCCCCTTCACCTCCCCTTCCTCTCCCCTTACCCTCCCATTTCTCTGTCTGTTACTCCCCATTTCCCCTCCCCTTTCCCTCCCCTTCTCCTCCCTCTCTCCTCCCATTTCTCTCCGCTTCCCCTCCTCTTCTCCTTGCTTCCCCTTCTCCCCCATTTTCCATCCCCTTCCCCTCCCTTTCCCCTCCCGATCCCCTTCCCATACCTTCCCGTTTCCCTCCTATTCCCATCCCCGTACCCTCCCCCTCCCCTCCTCGTTCCCTCCCCTTTCCCTCCCCATCCTCTCTCATCACATGCACCTGTATTTTCTCAGAACAGTCCAAGATCGACAGCCAGCGCCCTTCTGCCCTGCCACGCGCATCAAGGACGTTTGGCTCTGCTCTCTCTCTCAAGCGGTCCATGTATTAGCAACCAGAAACGTACAGACATGCACAGGAGGATAAGGCACCTGGAACATGCATCAAAGAAGGACCTTCGGGTGAATGTGCATGGGGGTTGATGGTGGGTGTCAAGGGGTGGTGTTCAGTGGCAATGGTGCTGAGTGAGCTGTGCTAACCTTCATGTGAATCGCTCCCGTCAAAGGCGTTCATGTGAGGGAGTGTTGAAGGGCAGAGTCGCCCTTCCTTACCAGCTGTCCTCCCGCCCCTTCTCACCATTATTTCTTTGTGTCTCAAGTTTTCAACTCCCCTCCCTTCCAGCCCAGCTAAACAAACAGTCACATCAACTCGCACATGCCATGACTTATCTCCCTTGCGACCTTCAACACTCCTTATTTGCCTCCCACTCACTCGTTCTCACCTTTTTCCTCTCCCTCCCTGTTCCTTCTTTCCCCCCTCCTTCCCCCCCTTATTCCTACCAACTGGGTCGCTGTATCACCTCGCACGTGCATCAATCCATTCAGGCCGAGCCATCCGGGGCTGCTGGGTTGCTGGGCTGCTGGGATGCTGGGAGGCCAATTCAACTGGGATGCTTCGGCAAATTATTCCGCATCGTGTGTCCAACGTGATCGAGTTCACTCACACGGTGGTGACCCACCAGCTGCTGCACTGCACCCCGCATGTACTCCTCCTGCTCCTCCACTACTCCTCAATCCTCCAAACCGGCCCTCCAGCACGCCAGGGCTTTCAGGTGCGTCTCACCTGCGCTCTTCCCGAAGTTTCGGCCGGATGGGGAGAGGTGGGGGGAGAAATGGGTGTGGGTGGGGTAGGAGGTGGCGGAGAGGGGCGAGGTGGTGGTGGCATGGACTTGCAGGAAGCGAACCGGGCAGCTCTGTACCAGCCCTCTGTACCAGCCCTCTGTACCAGCCCTCTGTACCAGCCCTCTGTACCAGCCCTCTGTACCTGCCCTCTGTACCAGCCCTCTGTACCTGCCCTCTGTACCAGCCCTCTGTACCAGCCCTCTGTACCTGCCCTCTGTACCAGCCCTCTGTACCAGCCCTCTGTACCAGCCCTCTGTACCAGCCCTCTGTACCAGCCCTCTGTACCAGCCCTCTGTACCAGCCCTCTGTACCAGCCCTCTGTACCAGCCCTCCGAAGCAGCCCTTGAGCACGCCATGGCTGTCAGGTGCGTTTTACATGCGCTCTTTCCCAAGCTTCAGCTGAACGGGGAGAGGTGTGGGGAGACGGGTGTGGGTAGGGCAGGAGGTGGGGGAGGGACGCGAGATGGTGGTGGCGTGGCTTGGTTTTTCAGCAAGCGAGGCGGGGAGCTATGCACGTGCACTGTGTGGGGTACATTTGATATGATACATGAACATGGGCCTGTTCGTGGGCTGGGCTGCGGCGAAATTGTATAACTGTCGGGCTGGCCCGGCTCAGCACTCCAGGCTGGACGTGGCCCGAGTTGCGGCCCGGGGTTTCTGGTGTGAGGCTGGGCCGGTCCGGGCCAGATTCCGGTCCGAATTGGGCAGGTCAGTGTGAGTGACTCAGTGATGCATGCGATGCGACCCAAGCTGCACACACTGCGTGTCACATTTTGTGGGCACAGTAAAAGGGGGAGTTGTGGACGCGAGCAGGGGGGTGTGTGGGTGGGTGGGTGCGAGCAAGGGGGGTGTAGATGCGAGCAAGGGGGGTGTGGGTCCGAGAAAGAGGGGTGGGTGTGTGGGCGCGGGAAGGGGAGGTTTGTGGGAGCGAGCAGGCTGGGTGTATGGACGCAAGCAAGGGGGTGTGGGCGCGAGCAGGAGGGTATGTGGGAGCGAGCAGGCGGGTGTGTGGGCGCAAGCAGGGGGGGCGTGGGCGCAAGTAGGGGGGATGTGGGTGCAAGCAGGGGGGGTGACGGCTCGAGCAGGGGGGGTTTGGGCGCGAGCAGGGGGGGTGTGGGAGCGAGCAGATATGGCCCAGCCATGAGCACGGGCCGAGCCGTGGGCTCATGCCCAGCAAGCCGACCCAGGCCCGGCACGTGCTCATGCCTGTTGGGCACGTCTCGGGTGACCCCGCCTATGCCTGTGCCAAGCAGATATGCCATATTCCTTGAAAAGAGTACCAATATACTGTTGCGGCCTTGTGTTATCCCTTCCCCTTTTCCCGTCCTCTCTGTTCCCCCTTCTCACACTCAGCTTATGTGCGCTGGCAGTTTGTTTCTGGCCCGCCTGCCTCCATTGTTGTGCTTACTTCGTTACCTCTTCCCCTTCCCCTTCCCCCTTCTTCCCTCTCGTCCTTCCTCCTCGTCCTTCTTTCCTATGAGGGTACAATCATGCAGATTTATCCCCTTTGTAATAACCTTAAGCCCCTTTTGAGACGTCTCAAAAGTCGTCTACTTTGTAATAACCTTAAGCCCCTTTTGTCAGCCGAGGAGAAAACCAGCAGAGGCGCTAAGAAGCAGTGGAGCCCGAGCATCGTCTTGGCAAATACGAGCCACAAGATTCGCATGGTGAGGTGAGTGGTTGGGTGGGTGGGTGAGTGGTATGTGTGCATGTGCATGGTGTGTGCATGTGCATGGTGTGTGCATGTGCATGGTGTGTGCATGTGCATGGTGTGTGCATGTGCATGGTGTGTGCATGTGCATGGCGTGTGCATGTGCATGGTGTGTGCATGTGCATGGTGTGTGCGTGGGTTCCAGTGCATGGTATGGTGTGTGCATGGCGTGTGTGGGCATATGGTACCAGTGCATGGTTGAGTGGGGGTGCATGCCATTCCTTTTGTACACCAGCCAACTACCCCTTCCCCTCATCTTTACCTCCCCTTTCCCCCCCTTTCTCTCTTCTTCCCCTCTGCTTCCTCCCCCTTTCCAAATACCATAGTTATGCGCTATCCCTTATGTAAAGCTCTTCTGTTATTTCCTAATTAGGTAAAGTTCCCCTTCTTGTCCGCTTCCCTTTTCCTTTCCCTTTGCCCCCGTCCCATCACCTCAACCTCGCCCTCTCCCCTACTCCCCGCCCCTAACCCTCTCCTCCCCCTCTCCCCCCCCTCCCCCCCAACACTCCCCTTTCCCTCCCCTTCCCCTCTCCTCCTCCTCCGTTTTCCCTCCCCCCTCCCCGTTTCCCCTTGTCCTCCCCTTCCCCCCCCCTTTTCTGCGCATCACATGCACCTGAATCAGGACAGACCTTGCCATCATCGACAGCCAGTCGCTGCCTCTGGAGGGCGTGAATACTCTCTTCCCCCTTCCCTCTGGAGGGCGTGAATACTCTCTTCCCCCTTCCCTCTGGAGGGCGTGAATACTCTCTTCCCCCTTCCCTCTGGAGGGCGTGAATACTCTCTTCCCCCTTCCCTCTGGAGGGCGTGAATACTCTCTTCCCCCTTCCCTCTGGAGGGCGTGAATACTCTCTTCCCCCTTCCCTCTGGAGGGCGTGAATACTCTCTTCCCCCTTCCCTCTGGAGGGCGTGAATACTCTCTTCCCCCTTCCCTCCTGCACGAACCCCACCAGCAGCAGCAGCAACAGCAGAGCCATCAACAGCGGCAACGGCGGCATCTCCCGCCTCATGCGCCTCCTTTACAAACCAAGACGCTTCCCCCTGTCTGCTGCCATCAGCCAATCGTTTCTGAACCCACAGCCGCCAGCACGAGCACCACCAGCAGCGGCATCAGCCGCAGTGCTGTCAGCAGCGGCAATGGCAGCATCAGTGGCGCATCTCCCACCTCCTGCTCCTTCTCTGCCTTCTATGCGCACTGCCCACCTCAGAGTCATCTCATCACATCACAGCTAACGAAACAGCCTAACAAAGAGATGCTACATGCCATAGTACCTTAATGATGCTTACCTAAGTGGATATTTTCAGCCCATACACCTCATTGATGCTTCTGGGGAGCACAGACCCATCACTGTCCTTCACATGCCCGCACTCCTCCACATCCAACATCCGCAGTGCCTTCACCTCACACAAACCCCCCTGGCAATGCCTCCAGCTGTGCATAGCCTGAGAAACAGAGGGATCTGAGCCGCGTGAACTGGGAAAAGGTGGGACACAGGGAGCGGATGGGGCAGCTTGAGATTGACAGCTGGGTCAGGCGGGCAAGCTGGGTGAGAGAGGCAGGCAGATGCTCAAGCTGCTCACAGCGAATGAGGTGCAGCTCGCGCAACCGGGATAAGGCACCGATGTCATCCGGAAGAGAAGCCAGTTTGGCCGCAGCATAAACCCCCAAGAACGTCAGGTTCTGCAGCACAGTCACACTCGCTGGCAGCTCCCTCAACTCACCCGCACTTATCAGGCTCAGCTCCCGCAGCTGCGGCACTGCTGACCCGATATCGGCCGGCAACAGGACAAGCCTTGCGCTCTCAACAATCAGGGTGCGCAGGCGGGAGAGAAACGTCAAGGCGAATGGAAGCTCCTCCGCATCGCCGGCCAAACTTAGGTGCAAATGCTCCAGGTGCGATAGGCTCCTGCTCACAGCGACCCCACATGCCACCGCAACAACGTCCAGGCGAAGCGATCGAAGCCCCGTCAGCGCGGACATGTCTGGCAGAGCCATGGCCTGCCTGTGACCTCCCCAACTCAGCCATTCAATGGAAGGCGGCAGGACTAGAGGAGGCCTTGTGAGCTTGTCACATTGGGCCACCTCCAGCCACTTGAGCCGTGTCAAGCCGTCCAGCCTCGCGGGCGCCGAGGCCAGATTATGGCAGTAAGCGAGTGAGAGAGCTTCAAGGGCAGTCAGGCACGTCACAGATGCTGGAAGGGCCGTGAGCAGAGGGCAGTATGAGACGTGCAGCTCGCGCAGGTTGCAGAGCGATCCCACCACGCCCTCTGGCAGCTCCTCCACGCCGCACTCGTCCAGCTCAAGCCTTGTGAGCGACGTGATCTCGGATAACGAGGGCGGCAGATGCCAATGCTCGAGGCTGTCTCTCACAAGCAGGGTGTGGAGGTTACTCAGGCGGCCTATGTCCGCTGGAAGCGCCACTCGCCCGAGGCAGAGAGTCGTGAGAGCTGTGAGGCAGCAAAAACCTGCTGGCAGCTCGCGGATTGAGTCGCACGAGAGCAGGAAGAAGGTCTCCAGGGAGCTGAGCTGGCAAACGGAGGCAGGCAGGCTCGCCAGCGGCAGATGATCCAGAACCAAAGTTTTCAGGGCAGTCAATCTCCCGATGTTTTCAGGCAGGCTGCGAAATTCGAAGTCGCATTCGATGACTGACAAGGTCTCGAGGTGCTCCAGGGAGCAGAAACCCTCGGGCAGCTCCTCAAAGGCCTCGCACCTGGAAACGGTCAGCTCACGCAGACGCGGCAGCAACTCCGCAATGCTGTCCGGAAACCGCTTCAAATCTCCGCAATATGATATCTGCAGCCGTTCAAGACTTGTCACTGGCCAATCCGACAACAACACGTGGCGAGTGTCCAACGATTTGATCAACGGCAGCTGTGCGATGGCTAAGGCAGCCGAGCCATGAGGAGAAAACGAGGTCTCGGCAGAGAGTGAAAGGCTGGTGATGTTGGGAAGACGACGCACGTTGGCCAGCTGCTCCTGGTTCAACTCCGGGGAGGCGATATGGAGAGTGGTGAGAGAAGCGAGGCTGTCCAGATCTGGAGCTTCTAAGGCGGAGGCGGCTGTTAAAGCCAGGGTGTGTAGACGCGTGAGGTGGAAGAAGGAAGCGGGTAGGTGGACGTCCCGATGGAGGCAGAGCAGTGAAAGCTGCTCCAGCTGGGTGCATCGCTGGAAGAAGCGATCCAGGCCAGCTTCGGTGATGGGGCGCTTATGCTTCGGTCCAACATAGTCCGGATGGTGAGCGATTTCGCGCCCCACGTGAAGAATCGTGAGCTTAGGACACGCTGATGCGAGGTGATTGAGGAAGGTGTCGTCAAGGGTTTCCACGCTGTAATCGCACAGATGGAGATGGTTGAGATTAGGGAAGCACGCGACGGCATCTGAGAGTTCTTGGAGGGCAATGACATGCTTTCGTTCGACGAGCAGCGTGGAGACGTCACGGTGAGCTACATCGCGCCAGCGACGGCACACAGACGACATAAGGAAGATCTTGGCAGCGCTTGGACCGGCGGAGGGGGACGATACTGGATACGTCTCTTCGTCAGGGCTGAAATCTTCGTCTAAAACGATCGAATGAAGGTACAGTGGCTTCTCCGACAATGAATGCCGAGACCATAACGCGTCACTGTCGGATTTTCGAGGTGTTGACTCTTCACAATGCCATAGAATCCTAGCGAGGACGTCGTTGGGAAGGTCGTTAATATGTGTCGCTGTCTCCATCATTTCCCTAGCAAACGAGATTACTAAGGATCTATAGAAGAACGGAATGCAGCGACCTTGAAGTCTAGACTGAGTTTGAACGAGGCCTGAAACTATTGTGACGTTACTCGTGGCGTGAGAGGTCATCATCGCGCTGCCTTCCCTTGTACGCAACACAAGCAACACCAAAATGGTTTTGCTGCGTGAGGGAAGGTAGCGCGATCACACAACGGCGGATACTCTGTCGGGTATAGGAGAGGGTTACCCGTTGTCGAACCTAAGTGGTTTTGCTGCGATAGGGTATCTGTTTCTTGATTTCGCTGCCATTGGTTTCGCTTCAATTTATGTGCTTCGAAACCTAAAGTGGTCCAAGGAAATACCAGCGAAACTCTCTCGCGTAATACGGTTTCGTTCAACGACGAACTAAGCACAATTGGTCCACATTTGCGGGTGCGAGGTTCACGATGAACCAAGGCGAGACAAGTAACCACCATTTCGAAACAAGCAACATCACTCTCGCACCTCCTCCCCCGCCCCATCCTTCTCCTCTCCTCACCATCGCGCAATCCTTCGGTGCAACGCCGCCGCTGCCGCCATCGCGAGAAGGTCGAATGCGCAATTGACAGCAGCAGGCATCAGAAAGAGCTACGGCAAATAGTACCTGCCAATTTCTTGCTCCTCCAACGAAATGTGCTTTTAATTGGCCATGATTCATTCCTCCCCTTCTTTTGTAGCTATGCTGTGACGTAATCATGAAGGATAGCGTCTCGGGAGGGACGTCGTTTTTTTCCCAGTCACCCGGATCCCGTATGAGTTGAGTCAGTCATAGCACTAATACTTCTGCCCGCCATCCCTAATGCTTCTTCCTATGGGCGACGGTGTCATTAGCGGGTGGATTTCGACTCGCGCCTATCTGAAACCCGTTGCGAGTGCTGACTGTGTTCTCAACAGCCGGAGTCTGGCTGCTTAGTCCATTCAACCCCCGCGCACCTGCTCCTCTCGTCTCCTTGGAAGGCCCTCTGCTTCTCGGCATAATTTAGTTACTGTAAGATTCGAAACGGCGTGCGAGTGTCGCCAAGCTGTCCACGTCGGACGCGACGGCGTACTGCCAGCTACTGCTGAAATGCGCCAAACACGGTGAGCGGCGTCGGCGTTGCTACTCGTGCAAGCGAAATCTCTCTCGCAAGAGCAGACCGCGCTTATCTTGGAATAGCGTCGTGGCGTTCCGTTTGATGTGCTCTAGAAACAGCTGGCGTTCAAAGAGAGGCAGGGCGTGCCCCTTGAGCTACCCCTACACCGCTTGCGATCGCCTCCGACATGGAATGTTTTGGCGTCATGCGACGCTTCGCATTTGCGAAAGCTACACACGCCGGTTTCCATGCAGATCAGTACCGTGGGAGTGTGTCACCTCCCCTGTCCGCATTAATGAGCAGCACGGGGCAGGGTGGTGGCGTTCACGAGTTGACCGCATAGAGAGAGCAGCAGCATGCTCAGGAGCGAGTAGGGGTGCATAGGCGATGGCAGGAGAAGGCGAGGCGGGAGCGGGGAGAAGGACGTATGAAATGGGGGGTTTACTGGTAGGGGTTTACTGGTAGTTTCGCAAAAGCGCAGGGGGAAGGGGGAAGCGGCTTCCAATTTGAAGCGAGCAATATTGCGGCGTGGGGTTTGATTTGACACGATCAGCTCACCTCGCACTTTTGCCTGCGATTCCCCTTCCTCTTTTGAGTCGACTCAAAACCTGCGATTCCCCTTCCTCAATCTCTCCTTTCTGAGCTTTCAGGCCTCTCACCCACCGCACCTCTTGCGAATGCGCTTTCCCAACGCCTGCGGTAAGGAAGCGCATTGCCTCACCCTGCGACGCCCTCCCCGGCCCGCACGACCCTACGCCTCGCTGCCTCCCGTAGATGTGACATATGGGGCCTATGCCACAGCGACACGGACGGTGGGGCTCTGTTCCCCTCCCCCACACCCGATACCCTCCCCTCTCCCCCTCTCCCCCACACCCGACACCCTCCCCTCTCCCCCTCTCCCCCACACCCGACACCCTCCCCTCTCCCCCTCTTCCCCACACCCGACACCCTCCCCTCTCCCCCTCTCCCCCACACCCGACACCCTCCCCTCTCCCCCTCTCCCCCACACCCGACACCCTCCCCTCTCCCCCTCTTCCCCACACCCGACACCCTCCCCTCTCCCCCTCTCCCCCACACCCGACACCCTCCCCTCTCCCCCTCTCCCCCACACCTGACACCCTCCCCTCTCCCCCTCTCCCCCACACCCGACACCCTCCCCTCTCCCCCTCTCCCCCACACCTGACACCCTCCCCTCTCCCCCTCTCCCCCACACCTGACACCCTCCCCTCTCCCCCTCTCCCCCACACCCGCCACCCTCCCCCCTCCCCCTCTCCCCCACACCCGACACCCTCCCCCCTCCCCCTCTCCCCCACACCCGACAACCTCCCCTCTCCCCCTCTCCCCCACACCCGCCACCCTCCCCCCTCCCTCTCTCCCCCACACCCGACACCCTCCCCCCTCCCCCTCTCCCCCACACCCGACACCCTCCCCTCTCCCCCTCTCCCCCACACCTGACACCCTCCCCTCTCCCCCTCTCCCCCACACCCGACACCCTCCCCTCTCCCCCTCTCCCCCACACCCGACACCCTCCCCCCTCCCCCTCTCCCCCACACCCGACACCCTCCCCTCTCCCCCTCTCCCCCACACCTGACACCCTCCCCTCTCCCCCTCTCCCCCACACCCGACACCCTCCCCTCTCCCCCTCTCCCCCACACCCGACACCCTCCCCTCTCCCCCTCTCCCCCACACCCGACACCCTCCCCTCTCCCCCTCTCCCCCACACCCGACACCCTCCCCTCTCCCCCTCTCCCCCACACACACCCCGCTCCCCCTCCTGAACCCCCCCTCTGTTCTCCGGATTGCTCTTTCCCAGTGCCATGACGGAGTGTGTCGGCAGTGGCAAGTGCTAGGATCCCTGCGATCAGCAGAAGTAGTAGCAGCAGTAGCGCAGCCCAAGTGTCGGCTGCAGCTGGGCTGCAGCAGAGAGTTGGGTGGTGTGTTTGGAGCTGACAAGAGGCCAACTAAGGTGCAGTGAAGCTACGTGCTGCAGCAGGTGGGGCAGATATGCGAGGAGGCAGTGGCGGGTGAAAGCACGGGGACAAGTTGAGAAACGGGACAGGGGTAGACTAGACTGTAGACGTAGGTGCAGGTGCTGCAGGTGCATGGCGGACAGGAGCCAAGGGATTGGATGTAGCTAATTCAAAGACATGTTGAGGCAGCAGCCGAAGCGCCACTGGGTGCTGACGTGGGGTGCAGCAGGGTCAGGAGTGGTGCAGCGACTGGAGCTGACGAGAGGCTGGCGAAGCGAAGGTGGGGGGCAGACAGACGGGAAGGGGCCGACAGGAGCGAGACAAGGCAGGGGCACAAGCAGGTGGGGCTGGGGCATTGTGAGGCGCGAGCGTGTGAGCAGGCTGCATCGGATCTGGCTGGCACACGCGGGTGACGGGGGGACACCTGCTTGGTGGAGGCGAGCTGCGGAAGGAAAGGACGAGAAGAGAAGGGGTAGGAAGGCCCCTGCACCAACGAGCTGTATTGCCGCATGAGGGAGCACAGCAAGGCGTGGGAAAGCTGGATGCTCCCCTCACCTAACGTGACGATCAAGAACGGAAGGAGTGGAATGCTGACACCGAGGGGACGGAGGATGGAACTTTTCAAGAGTGGCGTCATGGGGGGGTAGACCAGGTAGGAGGGGGCCTCGAGACTGGAGTGATGGCTGTTCGGCGAATGCTTTGCAATGGCAATGGCGATGGTGAGTCGACCCCTTATTTTGGGGGGGGAGGAGCGGAGGAGAAATTGCACTATACAATACGACCCGTCTTGGGACTCGTTCCCGTTGAATACACGCGTGGCTGGGCCTGCGATGTGCAAGTGGGGGCATCACGTCACCCGCTGGTGTCAAGACGGCCGAGGATCGCACCGCACCTCGCCGGCATGATGCCTCGCACCCGTCGCTGTTCCACTGCCAGCGGCTCCGCTGACGGAAACGTAGTGATTGCCCGCTCAGCCGTGTGCCTGTGTCTCCTACTCGCCCACTTGTCGTCCACCTGCCCCGAACCCGAACGGATTCCGAGTCGTAATTAGAATAATTATTCTGAGCCCGTCCCAGCTGAGCCCGTCGTTTCCCCAAAGTCCTTACTGGCTGCTCCTGCCCGCCCAAACCATCATGCTAACTGTCGCACCATGCTGTCGCTCCGTTTGTTTCCTCCTTCCCCGCTCCCTCCCTCTCCCTATTCGTTCCGCCCCATTCCACCCCAGCTCCGCGCCTGTTACTCCTAGTTGTCTTCTGCCTGCCCCACTGCACTCAATGCACTCAATGCACCCACTCTCGCCACTTCTCTCAGCTTCCAGTATTGTTTCCCACCTTTGGTCCACCCTTCGTTTCGTACTGTCTTGAGAATTCTCAAAAGCGATACAAGCATCAGCGCTATCCAGCGCCGCACCTGCTTCTCCAACACTGACTTCTGCCCCACTGCTCGGACCCGCGCCCCCACGGCACTGTCTCCCGTACTCCTCTCATACACTACTGTGCTGTTCACTCCTCTCCCTCTCTCCTCTCCCATTCCCATTCCCACCAGCTGCACACCTGCTTCTCCTGCACCGACTCCTACATTCTGCCCCACATGGACTCCAACCCTTCCAGCGTGGGAGCACTGTTCATTCACAGGCACCCTACGGGCTGCTCACGTGGCGGAGGTGCATGAGTGTTGCGGGCTACTGGGTGTCTCGTGGCGGTGTTGTTCTGCAAGGATGAGCTGAGGTAGGAGGAGAGGAGGTGCATTAGGCGAGGAAGGAGGTGGGCTGTCATGGGTCACTACTGCTGCTCACTGCTAATGGTCACTGGTGGGTGAAGGAGGTGTGTGTGGGTAGTGCGAGGAAGGTGGGTCACCTATGGGTCAGTCTCAGCTCAGGTCAGTAGTAGGTCACCCTCAGGTCACTCTCAGGTCAGTCAGGTGACTGTCAGGTAATTCAGCTGTGTTTCAGCCTGATCCGCGAGAGTCTTAATGCCATGAATGTGGTGGTGTTTTTCAAGGTGCCTCCTCTTCTGAATGCCATGAATTCGCATGCCCTGTGCCTGTATGCCATTCCACTTGCCCATCCCCATCCTCATAGCGATCCCCCCTTCCCCAAGTGCATACTGTAGCCAATAGCGTCCATCAATCTGCTCACACTGGTCTCTCTTGAATGGACCTTGCATTAATCAGGTGGGTGTTACAAAGGAAGATGCAAACACAGGCAAAACAAACCCTTCCTCTTATCACCCACCAGGTGTGCATGGTGCAGCCAACAGCGTCCGGTCCATCCCCTGCCATCTTTGCACTGACATGCCGATCAACAATCACTCACCTCTACACTGAGGTGAGTAGTGCCTTGTATCGAACCTGCCTCTACCCAATCAGGTCTGTGCTCTCATTTGTCCCCTGGCGCGCCACCACTGCTATTGGCTCTGCCTCTTGTGCCCACCCTTTTGATGTCATGGTGGAGGCAGCCCCTTTATCTCATCTCATTACTCTCAGGTCACTCTCAAGTCACTCTCAGATCACTCCCAGGTCATTCCCAGGTAATTCCCAGGTCGCTCTCAGGTCGCTCTCAGGTCACTCTTAGGTCACTCCCAGGTCATTTCCAGGTGATTCCCAGGTCGCTCTCAGGTCGCTCTCAGGTGATTCAGCTGTGTTTCGGGATTTTCTGGCCGTGAACGGTAGCTGATTCGTCAGAGGCTGGTTGCTGCCCAGCTGAATGCCGTACAGCTGAATGCCGCCCAGCTGAATGCCGCCCAGCTGAATGCCGCCCAGCTGAATGCCGCCCAGCTGAATGCCGCCCAACTGAAAGCTGAATGCGCCCCATCTGAATGCTTCGCAGTGGTGTGTTCAAGGTGCTGATACTCTGTGCATGGTGCATGCCCTGTGAATTCCCTGTCGTGGAACTAACAGGGGCAGTCTAGAACGTCTCTCCTTCTCATTGCTCACCACTTCTCTTTCACCCACCTGACTCGCATGTCCCTCTGGCCCCTCGTGTTTTCCCCGTCACCTCCCACTGGCGACCCCTCCCACAATCACTCGGCGCGTTTCCAAACTAAGCTACTTATACATTGCCACTTTCCCCCGTGCCCTTCCCATTGCACTGGCATTTCCCTCTGGCCCCTCCTGGCTGTCTCACCAGCCCCTCCTACTGCCCCCATCCATCCGATCACCCTCCCGGTGAGCATAGAGCAACCTTCACTCTCCATCATTGTCCCGCCGTCCCCTTCCCCTTCCACATCCCCATTCCCATCCGGGCCTTCCCCATCCCCATCCCCATCCCCATCCCCATCCCCATCCCCATCCCCATCCCCATCCCCATCCCCATCCCATCCACATCCCCATCCTCATCCCCATCCACATCCCCCATCCCCATCCCCATCCCCATCCCCATCCCCATCCCCATCCTCATCCCCATCCCCATCCCCATCCCCATCCCCATCCCATCCCCATCCTCATCCCCATCCCCATCCCCATCCCCATCCCCATTCCCATCCCCATCCCCATCCCCATCCCCATACCCATCCCCATCCCCATCCCCATCCTCATCCCCATCCCCATCCCCATCCCCATCCCATCCCATCCCCATCCCCATCCCCATCCCCATCCCCATCCCCATCCCCATCCCATCCATCCCCATCCCATCCATCCCATCCCCATCCTCATCCCCATCCCCATCCCCATCCCTATCCCATCCCCATCCCCATTCCCATCCCCATCCCCATCCCTATCCCATCCCCATCCCCATTCCTGTCCCCATCCCATCCCCATCCCCATCCCTATTCCCATCCGCATCCCCATCTCATCCCCATCCCATTCCCAACCCCTTTCCGCTTCCCCCCCCTTCCCCATCCTATTCCCACCTCCCATTCTCTTGCCCTTTCTCCCTCTTCCAGGCACTCTGTGTGTGCTCCATGCCTTCCGTGGTGTTCAAGCGGGACTAACTGGGACCGACATTCTACTACAACATAGCTACCTTCTCCCCCCGCTCCCCTTCCCATCACTCACCAACTCTCGCTTACCCGCCTCACTCGTATTCCCCACTGGTTCCTCTTGGGCTGTCCCACCTGCAACTCCCACTGGCAACCATCCCCCAATCACTCACCGCCTTTCATTACAAAGTTGTCAATACATCGCCACGTGCACCCCCCCCCCCCCCCCCCCCCCTCTCTTCCCATCACTCCCACTTTTATCTCACCCACCTCACTGACATTCACCTCTAGACCCTGCTCTGCTGGGCTGTCGTACCGCTTTCTCCTGCTGCCCATCCAATAACCCTTTTATCTGCCTTCATTTCATTCCGTAGTATCCACCTCCTTTCCACATCTCTCCGATCCCTCTCCTGTGTTTCAGAACAATGGTGAAAGATGAGCAGTTGCAGAAGCACCAGCAGCAACAGCAAATGCAGCTCCAGTAGCAGCAGCACCACCAGCACGCACCACCGCGGGTGCCAGGGTGAGCACAAGCACGCACCACCACACCAATGAAGAGAGACAGCAGCAAGAGGGGTCCGACATCTGCTCGTCCTTGACTGCTCAAAGCTTCAACCTCTCCTTTTCATAACAAGCCTCAGGCTCATCGAATCGAAACCAGCCGGTGAGCCACATTGCATTGACCAGTGGCTATGCACTCTCACTCTGCTGCTGGCTGCGGTGCCACTGCTGCCTCCTTATTCTACTCTCCCTCCTCCCCTCCTTCTGCCCCCTCTTACTCTCCCATCCTCTCCTATGCTACTTTCATCCTCTCCTACTCTCTCCAGCAATTCCAGGCTTTGGTGAGGGGCCCTAAATGGTCTTCAACGGGGATGTAGCTCAGATGGTAGAGCGCTCGCTTAGCATGCGAGAGGTACGGGGATCGATACCCCGCATCTCCAGATTTGCGGGGATAGCTCAGTTGGGAGAGCGTCAGACTGAAGATCTGAAGGTCGCGTGTTCGATCCACGCTCACCGCATTTGTTGGTCTTGGTCCACAGCCCATTGTGGCCCATTGTGCTTGCGCACATACTTTTGTGCCTGAATTTGGCTTCACTCACACACCATTGTGCCTCTTTTGCTCGCTTCACTGCCTCGTTTCACTCGCTTCACTGCCTCGTTTCACTCGCTTCACTGCCTCGTTTCACTCGCTTCACTGCCTCGTTTCACTCGCTTCACTGCCTCGTTTCACTCGCTTCACTGCCTCGTTTCACTCGCTTCACTGCCTCGTTTCACTCGCTTCACTGCCTCGTTTCACTCGCTTCACTGCCTCGTTTCACTCGCTTCACTGCCTCGTTTCACTCGCTTCACTGCCTCGTTTCACTCGCTTCACTGCCTCGTTTCACTCGCTTCACTGCCTCGTTTCACTCGCTTCACTGCCTCGTTTCACTCGCTTCACTGCCTCGTTTCACTCGCTTCACTCACAGACCCTTTCTGCCTTTTCTTCCTTGCTTGACCCATGCTGTCCAACAGGTGTGCCTGCCTGCATGTGAGCAGCTCACAGCAGTGGAGGTTGCTGCTGCTTGAGCTGCCATGGCACGGTGCTGCTATTGCTGGCATGGCTACTAGACTAAAATGGATAGACCGGGGTAAACCAGCAAGGTTGAACAATAGGCGTTAGACAGGCAGGGGTAGAAAATGAGGTCTATAGGTGCAGGCTAGGCACTGAAGTGAAAGCAGCAGGGCTGAAGCAGCTGTGCTATGGGCGAGGCACGGGCTGAACGGGTGGGATGATATGCGCCGTCTCATTGGGCAGACGATGGTGCCAACGTGGAGGTGAGCCATGAGTGACGTGCCCAGCTTATCGCTGCGACTCACGGCCTGGCAGCATGGCAGAGCCACGAGAGTAAGTGTGCGAGAAGTGGTGCACGCAGGCATGGGGGAGAAGAGCGAGGTGGGCGTGTAAGTGGGCGTTAGCTGCACACTGCTCATTGCATGTTGGTCATGCAGGAATCTATGCTTTACGAGATGCAAGCAAGCACATGCTGACGGGTAGGGCGACGTGCCAACATAGAGGTGAGTGACGTTGTAAATAACTTTCTTCTCGTTCCGTCCATTGTTGGCTTACTCCTTTAGCATTAGTACCTTCGCCCATCTGCTCCCAGCATGGTGCTTCTGGGCCGGTTTACTGGTGGGAGGATGAATGAGAGCACTGTTTTCCTGTGTGCGTGCCATCAGCAGCTATCTTCCACTTCCTTCTCCTCGCTCAGCAGTACGTTCCTTCATCCTTTGCCTTCTTCCCCACTCGCCAGCACTCCCTTCCCCTTCCCACACCAACAGCACCTTCCCTGGACTACTCTTAAGGAGCCAACTCCTTTCTGTGGCACACAGCCGGGCAGCATGGCAGAGCCACGGACAGCAGCAGCAGCGGCACTAATAGCGGTGAAGCCAGTCAGTGGTGTGTGGGGTCAGGGGGACGGGAGGGAGGCAAGGGCGAGAGGTGTGAGGCAGCAGCCACAGTGTGACTCTGACAGCCCGCTGATCATGCCGGGCTTTAGGCGTGTGAAGAATGAAGAGGTCCTGCAGGCACATACTGGCGGCCATCAATGAGCACGACATCCACCACAGTCTTGCCTGCGCGGGCCTGGGGCGTGTTCTTTACCTAGGGTGTGTTCCTGACTTAGGGTGTATTCCTGGCCTGGTTCCAGGCAGGCAGGAAGCTGATTGCTACCGGGCTGGACCAAGGTATATTAGCTGCATGATCACCATGCCATTCCTCAGGGCATCCCAGCTGGGACTACACCAATCTCCCGTCCATCCCTCAGCTTCCTTCAAAGCATCATCAATGAAAGCATTCGCGGTTGTGAGCCAGGGCAAAGGACGTTATTACTAGGGTTCGAAAGGCCCTCGTTCTGTGATGTACAGACACACACACGTTTGGATTTGGGGAGGAGAGGGATGGCGAAACACAAACAACCAATTCTTGTGCGTGCTGCTCGTGTGTCACCGCGAGTCCCTCTCATCACTCTCATCGTCATGGTGGGTGCATGTGCATGCACCTCTGCATCATGGCAGGCCGCAGCTGGAATCAATGCCATGGACCTCTCAGCTGACTGTGGGGGGCGAATGGTGGTGCCCAACACGAAGGTGAGAGGAGGTGCATAGGATGTGAGTGATTGACGGCACTGTGCCCCTGCCACACCCTGCCACACCCTGCCACACCCTGCCCCACCAGAATGATGGACGAGATAGAATCGTCCTCTTGAGATCTCATCCGTAAACCGTTGAAGCTGCTACATCTTCCCCCCTTACTTAAGTCATGGATGTGAGACTGTGTCAGTATGTGCTTAACTGTACAATTCTCAATGTTGTGTTGGGGTGCTTTTCCAACATTCACCTTGAGTTTGCTTAATCAATTTCGTTGTCCCCCCTCCTCCCACTGTAACAAGCACTTCACAGTATCATTTTGCATGCACACCTTTATGTAGCAATCGCTTCGTAACACACATTCCCTCACTGCAGTGGCATGTGTCTCCACCACCACCATCATACCCACTGGATTGCTTCACTTCAGAATCTCCACAACAATCCAACCCACTGCCTCCCCCCTCCCCCTGCTAGACACGGGTTTTTCTCACATGCAAACATTATTTCAACTCGCTTTATCGGCAATAATCCCCTCCCATCCGCTTGCAGTACCCGTCTCTTCCTTCCAAGCCACCTTCACATTTCTTCCTTCCAAGCCACCTTCACATTTCTTCCTTCCAAGCCACCTTCACATTTCTTCCTTCCAAGCCACCTTCACATTTCTTCCTTCCAAGCCACCTTCACATTTCTTCCTTCCAAGCCACCTTCACATTTCTTCCTTCCAAGCCACCTTCACATTTCTTCCTTCCAAGCCACCTTCACATTTCTTCCTTCCAAGCCACCTTCACATTTCTCCCTTTCCCCCACCTCCCAAGGACGCGTCCCCTCCGTCGATCGATCCTGCGCAGGATCGATATTTGGCGGGGTTCGAGAAGGTTCTGCTTGTTGTAAAATTTATCAAGCAGGAGTTCAGTGTGGTGGAGGATCAATATTGCACGATCGGTCGAGGGAAGGTACGTGTCCTAATCCCCTCCTCCGCACCCCCCGCACCCCTTCCCACAGCCCTCCAACCTCCCTCTGTTGTTCTGACCCCCTCTCGTTCCATCCCGATCGTTTGTACCACTCCCTCGCTGCCATATACCCTTTGTACTACCTCATCTCCCACTTCCCAGTTTCTTGAGTTCTCCACTCACCCCGTTTCAATCATCGCATCCTCCACTTCACCCATCACACCCGCTTCCGAGTCAACTGTCTTTCCTTTATTGCCATTCACTCTGTAGATGAACCATTTATTCATCCCCATCTCACGTCATCCTCCTCTGCCCACCATCACCCTCGGATCGGCTCCCCCCAGATCCCAACCAAGCAGCATCATCACCGCTATTGCACCTTCAGAGTCTCGGACAACCCCATGCCTCCCTCCCACAGCAACTGCACCATGACAATCTGCTCCCTCAGCCCCGCCCCCCATGCCCCACTCGCCCTCCTGCATTTCAGTTGAACCACTTAGGCTCTCCATGCCTGCTGCTGCAGCAGCATTGGCAGCGGCCATGGCAAATAAGGTAGGACTTGGGCAGAAGGGGGAAGGGGGAGAGGGTATGCGAGAGTTGTGGAGAAGGGGGAGAGGGTATGCGAGAGTTGTGGAGAAGGGGGAGAGGGTATGCGAGAGTTGTGGAGAAGGGGGAGAGGGTATGCGAGAGTTGTGGAGAAGGGGGGCAATCAGGAGCACTCTGCCCAACATGCCCCTCTCGCCCTTCTTCTGTGCTGCTCATTGGATTGTCTCGGGGCTATATTTCACGCTGCCCCTCGCTCCTCCTTCCCCCGCCTCCTACACATGCCTCGCCCTCCTTTTTGGAGGTTGGTTATGTTTAATACAAATCCAATGCATTGGACTTTTATTATGATGAGTACAGGTTAGAGCATTCTGAATTTGACAAAGTGGAGCATGTTCTAGCTTGCACACAGCATCAGGCCAGCGAGACTACGGCACTTGAAGCTAACCTGCATGCAAAGCCTGCGCAGTTTCACACAACGTTGCAATCTAAGGTTGGCACAACTTTGCTACTATTATAAAGCTGTGCACCGGCAAAGCCTTGCCCAATGCCCAGCCGCAAGCATGCACACACCCTCCATTCAATCCACATTGAATGTCCTATGACTTCCTCAGTATCACTTGATCCGCCTTTTCCACCATCACTCTGTCACTATACCCTCTCCTTTGTGAATACATTTGTACACGCTGCACCCAAACAGACATCAATTTCTCATGCAGCTCCCTCATGCAGCCATGCGAGACACTACTCACCCTTAATCTCAACCCAAGCCCACTGCTGCTGCTGCTGCTGCCTGCTGCTGCTGCTGCTGCTGCTGCTGCTGCTGCTGCTGCTGCTGCTGCTGCTGCTGCTGCTGCTGCTGCTGCTGCTGCTGCTGCTGCTGCTGCTGCTGCTGCTGCTGCTGCTGCTGCTGCTGCTGCTGCTGCTGCTGCTGCTGCTGCTGCTGCTGCTGCTGCTGCTGCTGCTGCTGCCTGCTGCTGCTGCTGCTGCTGCTGCTGCTGCTGCTGCTGCTGCTGCTGCTGCTGCTGCTTGCTGCTGCTGCTGCTGCTGCTGCTGCTGCTGCTGCTGCTGCTGCTGCTGCTGCTGCTGCTGCTGCTGCTGCTGCTGCTGCTGCTGCTGCTGCTGCTGCTGCTGCTGCTGCTGCTGCTGCTGCTGCTGCTGCTGCTGCTGCTGCTGCTGCTGCTGCTGCTGCTGCTGCTGCTGCTGCTGCTGCTGCTGCTGCTGCTGCTGCTGCTGCTGCTGCTGCTGCTGCTGCTGCTGCTGCTGCTGCTGCTGCTGCTGCTGCTGCTGCTGCTGCTGCTGCTGCTGCTGCTGCTGCTGCTGCTGCTGCTGCTGCTGCTGCTGCTGCTGCTGCTGCTGCTGCTGCTGCTGCTGCTGCTGCTGCTGCTGCTGCTGCTGCTGCTGCTGCTGCTGCTGCTGCTGCTGCTGCTGCTGCTGCTGCTGCTGCTGCTGCTGCTGCTGCTGCTGCTGCTGCTGCTGCTGCTGCTGCTGCTGCTGCTGCTGCTGCTGCTGCTGCTGCTGCTGCTGCTGCTGCTGCTGCTGCTGCTGCTGCTGCTGCTGCTGCTGCTGCTGCTGCTGCTGCTGCTGCTGCTGCTGCTGCTGCTGCTGCTGCTGCTGCTGCTGCTGCTGCTGCTGCTGCTGCTGCTGCTGCTGCTGCTGCTGCTGCTGCTGCTGCTGCTGCTGCTGCTGCTGCTGCTGCTGCTGCTGCTGCTGCTGCTGCTGCTGCTGCTGCTGCTGCTGCTGCTGCTGCTGCTGCTGCTGCTGCTGCTGCTGCTGCTGCTGCTGCTGCTGCTGCTGCTGCTGCTGCTGCTGCTGCTGCTGCTGCTGCTGCTGCTGCTGCTGCTGCTGCTGCTGCTGCTGCTGCTGCTGCTGCTGCTGCTGCTGCTGCTGCTGCTGCTGCTGCTGCTGCTGCTGCTGCTGCTGCTGCTGCTGCTGCTGCTGCTGCTGCTGCTGCTGCTGCTGCTGCTGCTGCTGCTGCTGCTGCTGCTGCTGCTGCTGCTGCTGCTGCTGCTGCTGCTGCTGCTGCTGCTGCTGCTGCTGCTGCTGCTGCTGCTGCTGCTGCTGCTGCTGCTGCTGCTGCTGCTGCTGCTGCTGCTGCTGCTGCTGCTGCTGCTGCTGCTGCTGCTGCTGCTGCTGCTGCTGCTGCTGCTGCTGCTGCTGCTGCTGCTGCTGCTGCTGCTGCTGCTGCTGCTGCTGCTGCTGCTGCTGCTGCTGCTGCTGCTGCTGCTGCTGCTGCTGCTGCTGCTGCTGCTGCTGCTGCTGCTGCTGCTGCTGCTGCTGCTGCTGCTGCTGCTGCTGCTGCTGCTGCTGCTGCTGCTGCTGCTGCTGCTGCTGCTGCTGCTGCTGCTGCTGCTGCTGCTGCTGCTGCTGCTGCTGCTGCTGCTGCTGCTGCTGCTGCTGCTGCTGCTGCTGCTGCTGCTGCTGCTGCTGCTGCTGCTGCTGCTGCTGCTGCTGCTGCTGCTGCTGCTGCTGCTGCTGCTGCTGCTGCTGCTGCTGCTGCTGCTGCTGCTGCTGCTGCTGCTGCTGCTGCTGCTGCTGCTGCTGCTGCTGCTGCTGCTGCTGCTGCTGCTGCTGCTGCTGCTGCTGCTGCTGCTGCTGCTGCTGCTGCTGCTGCTGCTGCTGCTGCTGCTGCTGCTGCTGCTGCTGCTGCTGCTGCTGCTGCTGCTGCTGCTGCTGCTGCTGCTGCTGCTGCTGCTGCTGCTGCTGCTGCTGCTGCTGCTGCTGCTGCTGCTGCTGCTGCTGCTGCTGCTGCTGCTGCTGCTGCTGCTGCTGCTGCTGCTGCTGCTGCTGCTGCTGCTGCTGCTGCTGCTGCTGCTGCTGCTGCTGCTGCTGCTGCTGCTGCTGCTGCTGCTGCTGCTGCTGCTGCTGCTGCTGCTGCTGCTGCTGCTGCTGCTGCTGCTGCTGCTGCTGCTGCTGCTGCTGCTGCTGCTGCTGCTGCTGCTGCTGCTGCTGCTGCTGCTGCTGCTGCTGCTGCTGCTGCTGCTGCTGCTGCTGCTGCTGCTGCTGCTGCTGCTGCTGCTGCTGCTGCTGCTGCTGCTGCTGCTGCTGCTGCTGCTGCTGCTGCTGCTGCTGCTGCTGCTGCTGCTGCTGCTGCTGCTGCTGCTGCTGCTGCTGCTGCTGCTGCTGCTGCTGCTGCTGCTGCTGCTGCTGCTGCTGCTGCTGCTGCTGCTGCTGCTGCTGCTGCTGCTGCTGCTGCTGCTGCTGCTGCTGCTGCTGCTGCTGCTGCTGCTGCTGCTGCTGCTGCTGCTGCTGCTGCTGCTGCTGCTGCTGCTGCTGCTGCTGCTGCTGCTGCTGCTGCTGCTGCTGCTGCTGCTGCTGCTGCTGCTGCTGCTGCTGCTGCTGCTGCTGCTGCTGCTGCTGCTGCTGCTGCTGCTGCTGCTGCTGCTGCTGCTGCTGCTGCTGCTGCTGCTGCTGCTGCTGCTGCTGCTGCTGCTGCTGCTGCTGCTGCTGCTGCTGCTGCTGCTGCTGCTGCTGCTGCTGCTGCTGCTGCTGCTGCTGCTGCTGCTGCTGCTGCTGCTGCTGCTGCTGCTGCTGCTGCTGCTGCTGCTGCTGCTGCTGCTGCTGCTGCTGCTGCTGCTGCTGCTGCTGCTGCTGCTGCTGCTGCTGCTGCTGCTGCTGCTGCTGCTGCTGCTGCTGCTGCTGCTGCTGCTGCTGCTGCTGCTGCTGCTGCTGCTGCTGCTGCTGCTGCTGCTGCTGCTGCTGCTGCTGCTGCTGCTGCTGCTGCTGCTGCTGCTGCTGCTGCTGCTGCTGCTGCTGCTGCTGCTGCTGCTGCTGCTGCTGCTGCTGCTGCTGCTGCTGCTGCTGCTGCTGCTGCTGCTGCTGCTGCTGCTGCTGCTGCTGCTGCTGCTGCTGCTGCTGCTGCTGCTGCTGCTGCTGCTGCTGCTGCTGCTGCTGCTGCTGCTGCTGCTGCTGCTGCTGCTGCTGCTGCTGCTGCTGCTGCTGCTGCTGCTGCTGCTGCTGCTGCTGCTGCTGCTGCTGCTGCTGCTGCTGCTGCTGCTGCTGCTGCTGCTGCTGCTGCTGCTGCTGCTGCTGCTGCTGCTGCTGCGCTGCTGCTGCTGCTGCTAGCTGCGCTGCTGCTGCTAGCTGCTGCTGCTGCTGCTGCTGCTGCTGCTGCTGCTGCTGCTGCTGCTGCTGCTGCTGCTGCTGCGGCTGCTGCTGCTGCTGCTGCTGCTGCTGCTGCTGCTGCTGCTAGCTTGCTGCTGCTGCTGCTGCTGCTGCTGCTGCTGGCTGCTGCTGCTGCTGCTGCTGCTGCTGCTGGATGCTTGCTGCTGCTGCGGCTGCTGCTGCTGCTGCTGCTGCTGCTGCTGCTGCTGCTGCTGCTGCTGCTGCTGCTGCGCTGCTGCTGCTGCTGCTGCTGCTGCTGCTGCTGCTGCTGCTGCTGCTGCTGCTAGCTGCTGCTGCTGCTGCTGCTGCTTGCTGCTGCTGCTGCTGCTGCTGCTGCTGCTGCTGCTGCTGCTGCTGCTGCTGCTGCTGCTGCTGCTGCTGCTGCTGCTGCTTGCTGCTGCTGCTGCTGCTGCTGCTGCTGCTGCTGCTGCGTGCTGCTGCTGCTGCTGCTGCTGCTGCTGCTGCTGCTGCTGCTGCTGCTGCTGCTGCTGCTGCTGCTGCTGCTGCTGCTGCTGCTGCTGCTGCTGCTGCTGCTGCTGCTGCTGCTGCTGCTGCTGCTGCTGCTGCTGCTGCTGCTGCTGCTGCTGCTGCTGCTGCTGCTGCTGCTGCTGCTGCTGCTGCTGCTGCTGCTGCTGCTGCTGCTGCTGCTGCTGCTGCTGCTGCTGCTGCTGCTGCTGCTGCTGCTGCTGCTGCTGCTGCTGCTGCTGCTGCTGCTGCTGCTGCTGCTGCTGCTGCTGCTGCTGCTGCTGCTGCTGCTGCTGCTGCTGCTGCTGCTGCTGCTGCTGCTGCTGCTGCTGCTGCTGCTGCTGCTGCTGCTGCTGCTGCTGCTGCTGCTGCTGCTGCTGCTGCTGCTGCTGCTGCTGCTGCTGCTGCTGCTGCTGCTGCTGCTGCTGCTGCTGCTGCTGCTGCTGCTGCTGCTGCTGCTGCTGCTGCTGCTGCTGCTGCTGCTGCTGCTGCTGCTGCTGCTGCTGCTGCTGCTGCTGCTGCTGCTGCTGCTGCTGCTGCTGCTGCTGCTGCTGCTGCTGCTGCTGCTGCTGCTGCTGCTGCTGCTGCTGCTGCTGCTGCTGCTGCTGCTGCTGCTGCTGCTGCTGCTGCTGCTGCTGCTGCTGCTGCTGCTGCTGCTGCTGCTGCTGCTGCTGCTGCTGCTGCTGCTGCTGCTGCTGCTGCTGCTGCTGCTGCTGCTGCTGCTGCTGCTGCTGCTGCTGCTGCTGCTGCTGCTGCTGCTGCTGCTGCTGCTGCTGCTGCTGCTGCTGCTGCTGCTGCTGCTGCTGCTGCTGCTGCTGCTGCTGCTGCTGCTGCTGCTGCTGCTGCTGCTGCTGCTGCTGCTGCTGCTGCTGCTGCTGCTGCTGCTGCTGCTGCTGCTGCTGCTGCTGCTGCTGCTGCTGCTGCTGCTGCTGCTGCTGCTGCTGCTGCTGCTGCTGCTGCTGCTGCTGCTGCTGCTGCTGCTGCTGCTGCTGCTGCTGCTGCTGCTGCTGCTGCTGCTGCTGCTGCTGCTGCTGCTGCTGCTGCTGCTGCTGCTGCTGCTGCTGCTGCTGCTGCTGCTGCTGCTGCTGCTGCTGCTGCTGCTGCTGCTGCTGCTGCTGCTGCTGCTGCTGCTGCTGCTGCTGCTGCTGCTGCTGCTGCTGCTGCTGCTGCTGCTGCTGCTGCTGCTGCTGCTGCTGCTGCTGCTGCTGCTGCTGCTGCTGCTGCTGCTGCTGCTGCTGCTGCTGCTGCTGCTGCTGCTGCTGCTGCTGCTGCTGCTGCTGCTGCTGCTGCTGCTGCTGCTGCTGCTGCTGCTGCTGCTGCTGCTGCTGCTGCTGCTGCTGCTGCTGCTGCTGCTGCTGCTGCTGCTGCTGCTGCTGCTGCTGCTGCTGCTGCTGCTGCTGCTGCTGCTGCTGCTGCTGCTGCTGCTGCTGCTGCTGCTGCTGCTGCTGCTGCTGCTGCTGCTGCTGCTGCTGCTGCTGCTGCTGCTGCTGCTGCTGCTGCTGCTGCTGCTGCTGCTGCTGCTGCTGCTGCTGCTGCTGCTGCTGCTGCTGCTGCTGCTGCTGCTGCTGCTGCTGCTGCTGCTGCTGCTGCTGCTGCTGCTGCTGCTGCTGCTGCTGCTGCTGCTGCTGCTGCTGCTGCTGCTGCTGCTGCTGCTGCTGCTGCTGCTGCTGCTGCTGCTGCTGCTGCTGCTGCTGCTGCTGCTGCTGCTGCTGCTGCTGCTGCTGCTGCTGCTGCTGCTGCTGCTGCTGCTGCTGCTGCTGCTGCTGCTGCTGCTGCTGCTGCTGCTGCTGCTGCTGCTGCTGCTGCTGCTGCTGCTGCTGCTGCTGCTGCTGCTGCTGCTGCTGCTGCTGCTGCTGCTGCTGCTGCTGCTGCTGCTGCTGCTGCTGCTGCTGCTGCTGCTGCTGCTGCTGCTGCTGCTGCTGCTGCTGCTGCTGCTGCTGCTGCTGCTGCTGCTGCTGCTGCTGCTGCTGCTGCTGCTGCTGCTGCTGCTGCTGCTGCTGCTGCTGCTGCTGCTGCTGCTGCTGCTGCTGCTGCTGCTGCTGCTGCTGCTGCTGCTGCTGCTGCTGCTGCTGCTGCTGCTGCTGCTGCTGCTGCTGCTGCTGCTGCTGTCACCTCTGCTGCCACTGCTGCAGCCACTGCTGCCACCACTGCTGCCGCCACTGCTGCTGCCACTGCTGCCACCACTGCTGCTGCCACTGCTTCTGCAGCCACTACTGTGGCCACTGCTGTAGCCACTGCTGTAGCCACTGCTGATCGCCTCCATTACTGCTCATCCATTATGCTCGCTTCCCTCACTGCTCTCTTGCTCGTCCTTGTCCCCAGCTTCCCTGCAGTCACAGTCAACTCTTCCCTCAACCTCACCTCTCTTTCCATCATCACTCCCTGCCACCCTACCCGCCTATCCGCCTGCGAACATCATCGTACATAAGGTAACCCCCTTCTGCCGGAAAGAGAAACGCCAGTTTGGTCAGCGCAGTCAGCTGCTGCAGCCCATCATCCGTGACTGCCATCCCACCCAGAAGAAGTTTCTCAAGTCCTGTCAGCCTCCCCACATGCACCATGCCGGCATTTGTCACCTTGGTCTTCCAGAGATGGAGCTCCGCGAGATTGGTCAAGGACCCAATCCCTTCCAAGGCGCTGTCTGAGACATCTGTAAATTGCAGGTCTAGCGTCTCCAGCTGTGGCAGCCTGTACAGGTGCTTCATGCCCTCTGCACTGAAGCCTGAGGTAGATCGCAAGTCGATGCTCTTCAGGTGGGTCATTGTGGACACATGGGCGAGCATGGCGTCTGAGAGGCCGCCGAGACTCGCCAGACTCAGATGGGTTCCTAGTGATGCTGATTTGATTCGCTGGAGGTGATGGATACAAAAGAGAATGAATGGCAAGGAGTGATCATCGAGACAACAGCAAATCATGCTTGCTCTGAAAAACAGTTCATTCAGCACTCACCTCCCATGCAGTCTTCCAATCAACTTCATTCCGGATAATTTCCATCTCAACATTCACTCAACTCCTGCAGGCTGCCAATTCCTTCATGGCACGTGGCCAATTCAACTCCTGCACCTCCCTCCTCCTCTCCTCCCTCTCCCTTGCCAACTCCGCTCTCATGTCATCCTCTTTCTTTCTAACCTCCTCAATTAGATCATTCAAACCAGATTCCCTTCTTCTCTCAGCCATACAGAGTTGCTCTATCATAGAATCCTTGTGCCCAGCCAACGCCCACTTCACTGCTGCCAATTCTACGGCCATCTCCGCCACTCGTCTCCTCTCAGCCTTCTCCAACTCCCTCTTCCTCTCCTCCACCTGTCCTCTCAGCTCTATGAAGTTCTCTGTGTGTCTTTTCTCAGCCTCTTCCAATTGACTTTTCAGAAAGTCCTTTTGCCTCCTCAAGTCTCTTCTCAATGCTGCCAATTCTTCCCTGATCTCACTCAACTCCTTTCTAGCCTCCACTTGCTCTGCCATAGCATCCTTGTGTTCAGCCAGATCCCTCTTCATAGCTGCCAGCTCCCCCTGCACTGCACCCAACTCTCCCTTTACTGCTGCCAAATCCTCCCCCCTCTCCTCCATCTGCCCTCTCACCTCACCCATCTGCGACACTCGTTTCCTCTCAGCCTCCTCCAACTCCTTCCTTGTCTTTTCCAGCTACATGCCAAGCGCCCTCATTCTCATCTCCATCGCCTCTTTCAGCTCGTGTGTTCCGGCCATAATTGCCATGACAGACCCAACAGCTCCACTTACTCTCTCCATTTGGAAATTGGCGTGCTTCCTACACATGGCAGCACATGGAAACACAGGCACACGGCAACTCATGGATGGGAGTTTTTGGGGAGAGAAGATGTGAGTGGAGCATTAAGAGGATGAGGAAGTCAAGAGTAGTGGAACTGAGCTTTGAGCTTTCACCTTTACGCAGACGGAGAGCTGTGAGGGCAGCAGGAGAGCTGTGAGGGCAGCAGGAGAGCTGTGAGGGCAGCAGGAGAGCTGTGAGGGCAGCAGGAGAGCTGTGAGGGCAGCAGGAGAGCTGTGAGGGCAGCAGGAGAGCTGTGAGGGCAGCAGGAGAGCTGTGAGGGCAGCAGGAGAGCTGTGAGGGCAGCAAGAGAGCTGTGAGGGCAGCAGGAGAGCTGTGAGGGCAGCAGGAGAGCTGTGAGGGCAGCAGGAGAGCTGTGAGGGCAGCAGGAGAGCTGTGAGGGCAGCTGCTGATGATAACATCCAATGATGAGAATGCATACCCCATCAAAACATTGCAACAATGCGGACATGTGAGGTTTAGGAAATACGCGGGCATATGACAGGAAGCGTCCCTGCCTGCCAATTGGTGTGATGCTGATGGCAGTGGCAAGGAGGGCGAGCAGCAGCGCTGGCAGCAGCATGGCCACTGCAGTCATCCGAGCCATGACTGATGGGGCGAGCCCAATGCAGGGCGTGCGCCTGCACAGTGAGGTGTAGCAGGAGGAGAGGATGAATTCAGGGAGCAGGATTAGAGGAGGGAGGGGGGTTGTGGCAGGAAAGATAGGTTCTGTACTGAGTGCACAGGACGAGACAAGCGGACAACATAGGCATGGGGCACAGACGGGTAGAGATGAGACTAGCATGCGGAATCACACACACGAAAGAACAAGCTGATAGTCAGACTGTAAGGCAGGTGGGGTAGGGGACAAGCGGCAGCAGGGGGGGGATGTGGGGAAGGGGGGATGACAGTCGTGCACAGTGTGCACAGGAGCTAACGAGGAGAGGGATGGAGACAAAACGAGAATAAGAATGGTGGCGTAGAATCACGTGAACGAATGCCAAAGGCCAGTGCCTCAACTCATTCGCCGCATTCTCCACACCGCACCTGCTCTGAACAACAACCCTCGTTCACTCTCCTGTGCCGCCTTCTCCGCCACTGCTGCCGCCACCTCCCCCTTCACTACTGCCAGCTCCTCCCTCATTGTTGCCAGTTCCCCTCTCACTGTTGCAAACAGCCCTCTAAATGCCTCGCTAAGCTCATTCTCCTCCCTTTCTACAGCCATTTCCCAATCCACTCCCAACCAGTTCAGGTAGTTTTCAGCAATGCTTGAGTTCAGCACAGAGAAGATTCCGTCTGAAACGTGGATAGGGAGTGAGAAACACTGGACTAGTTAAAGGTGGAGCGAAGAGAGGTCAGTAGAGGCAGACGCAAATGGAGAGAGATGTTGAAAGCAAGAGGGAAAGGTGAGGCACTGTAGCTCCTATGGCACGTGAATGAGAATATGCGATCATCGTTCTACGAGGCAAAGGAGCACATAGCTCCATGCTCATTTGCATAGCCGCTGCGGCATGTCGTATCCACACAAGACTTCTGCGCAGAAGGAATTTCAAAACCGCTCTCTTTACCCTAATCCAGACTCACAGACTCACAGGCTAGGTCAGTTGGGGGTTAGGTCAGTTGGGGCTAGGTCAGTTGGGGGCTAGGTCAGTTGGGGCTAGGTCAGTTGGGGGTTAGGTCAGTTGGGGCTAGGTCAGTTGGGGGCTAGGTCAGTTGGGGCTAGGTCAGTTGGGGGCTAGGTCAGTTGGGGCTAGGTCAGTTGGGGGCTAGGTCAGTTGGGGTGGGGGCTTTAGTTGGGGGCTAGGTTAGTTGGGGGCTAAGACACTCAGGGGCTAAGACACTCAGAGGCTGAGATACTAGGAGGCTAGGTCACTCACAGGCTAGGTCACTCACAGGCTAGGTCACTCACAGGCTAGGTCAAGCACAAGGTTGGCTCGACACAAGTAAGATTGGTCCTAGGCTACAATAGCCACAGGTGGGTCACTTATAGCTAGGACAGACACAAGCAGGGTTAGTCATAGGCCGGGTCACTCACAGCAGCCGGTCAGCCACATGCCAGGTCAACCGCACGCGAGGTTACATACGAGCAGCGAGTAGAGTTTTGACTCGACTCGATCGACTCAGGTGGTCACTTGATTTCTTGTCACGCTGAGTCTAGTCGGCTCGACATACAATGCATCGCTCGACCCGGCTGGACATTTGTCAAGTTGGCACTCGCCTAGTTGGTGATTCGAAACAGCACACCTGACTAGTCTCTACTCGACTAGCTTGTCTCCGGCATTTACCTATGTCAAGCAACGTGTCGTTCAACAACTGAATCTCTCATTTTCGTGGTCCAATCTCGGCCTGATCTGGTTAATAGTCGTTCCTTGTCGGCCTTGTCATTCATATTTGTCCCAGCCCTTATCTCGGCCTTGTCGTTCCTACCTCGACTCGCGAGTTAACTCGGGCCGGTCAGAGCCGAGTCGACTCAGAGTAGACTTGAGTCGCCCTGTGCACATGTCCAGGTCAGTCACAGGCTAGGTGAGGCAAGCTCGGTCAGTAACGGCAAGACCATTCACGGGCTGGGTCAGTCACCGCCTAGGTTGGTCACACGCTGCGGTGGGTCACAGGGCAGGTCGGCTAGAGCCCGGATAAGTGAGAGCGTGGGTGTATCAACGATGGCGAGGAAAAGCAGCACGGGAAGGGCCCGGGACAACAACGCTGAGTGGGACAAGACTGTGTCAAGGGGCTCTGCTAGTTCATAGGTTGTCCAGACCTCGTAGCGACTCGGTATGTAACCTAAAGTTGCACATCCCCCCCCCCCCCCCCCCCCCCCCCCCCCCCCCCCCCCCCCCCCCCCCCCCCCCCCCCCCGCAATGCAGAGGGCTGACTGGGGGAAACTAAAAGTGGAGCTTACCTCTTTTAGAATTTCTTAGACTATCACACTTCTGCGGCCCTTGAAGTGACTTAGCAGCGGCGCGGTAATTCGATCTCTAGGAAGGTAGGCAAAGAGACGGCGGCCCGGGAAAAACCGAGGGGAAACGATGCGCGGAATATTGTACGGATGACACTGAAGGAACACGGCGCCGCCGTTGGTACTAGTTTCGTCGAGGTGGAGTGAGTAGCATTTCTTTTCACTAGGCGCTTTTTGTCACCATTGTAATATTCCTCTACTATGTGTCCTGCCACAGTGGTGAGCACAAGCTTGTTCGTTTTAGTTTGAGGTGTACAGTACTTTTGCTGCTCCTCCAACACCTTCCCACGGCCCCACAAACCATCGCCAGTTTCCTCCTTGATGTTGCCTTGCTTCATCGAAATGATAATTCGCGAGACTCGTGCACCAGTCGCGAACTTTCGTCTTATCACGAAACGAAACTGTCATGCTGGCGCTGTTCGCCAGCACATCTAAAAAAAGAAAGGCCATGGAATAGCCGTGGAATCACGAACCAGAGGAGGAACCTCCCGAATAGGTGTGGGGGGAATGGCCAAATCGCGAAATTTCGCGCCAGAAAGGGGAAGGGTGGCATCGGGATCAGGAACCACCCTCCCCACCTTCCAATTCCCCGTTCCCCCCCTCCACATCCTTCCAATCCCATGGCCATTCCAAGGCGATGTTCGGCAGCCAGGGGAGGGGGTTTGATGGGGGATCCAAATGGCGAGCCTCCAGGCTCGACCAGTACGAACCAGGCAAAACACTTCAGTCAGGCTAGAAAAATGTGAAAAAAATGTCGAGCGTAAGCCTAAAACGCGACGCGAACACCATGCTAGGTTGTAACCCGCGCCGCATCCTCCCCCAAAACCTCCCCCATGGCGCAGAAATTCCGCCCTAGTGCCCAGGGAATCCAAATTGCACTCCCATGAGTGGCCTCACCCACGAGGGATGTAAAATGGATTCCCTCTACCACGAAATTGTTTTATGATTTTACCCCACACTCTAAACTGATGGGTAAAATGGAAATCGGAAATGTATCCCCAATCCAGTTGTATTCAATGCTAACGGGTGAAATGGGTGAGTACGACATTTAGGGCATCCATTTTAATTTATGGTGTTAATTTTTTTCGAGAAGTGATATACCCAATCCCATCGCAACAGTAAAATGAGGCAGGGAGAAGAAAAGCTGTCCAGCTCGCGAAGTTTCGTTTCGTGCAGCTGCAGTTTCGTGGGCCCCCAATTCCCGCGTCGCTCATCCGCGCCTTTTCCCCCAAAGGTTCCGCTTGCGCTTGGACCCCCGACTTGGAGTCAACGCTGGTTGACTCCGAGTTGACCACCCCGAACTAGAAACCCTAGCTGAGAATTTCGATCCCCCCCCATCATCCCTCGGTGGATCCCCTGTGCTGCCGAACATCGCCCAAGGCAATTCTGCTTGGGGGGGTGAATGGCGATGGAATGGCAACGGGACCACGTTTGCCTATAGAGGAAGCTCCCGACCCACTTTCCTACCTTCACGATTCCATTCAAAATGAATGAAAAGGAGGGCGTTCGACAGGACAACATGATTCCGTTTGGTTCGGACGGAATCATAGGCTCGGCAAGAATTTCGCGGGCTGACCTGCTTGACGGACCCTAACGAACCCTAACGGACGGGATAAAGAAGCCGAGACTGACCTTCCTGATCCCGTCATTTTTCTTGTTAAAAGTGCTGGCGAACAACGCCGACGTCGCCACTTCTTTCCACCAAACACCCCAAGCGAGAAAATTCTGCTGGTAGCATTTGTCAGCCATGTTTCGTGTATTGCACCAATGCATACCTTTATGGCGTTGTTCTAAGATAGGGCGAAGTCAGGTTGTACAACCTTCTGTACGCCTACTGCGTTTAACTTTGTTTCAACACAGTGCAGAGCGGTACGAGGCGAGAACCGCTTCTCGCCTTGCTGGACCATCCTGAACCACAAAACAAGAACTGTAAACGCGTGAGAATTGTATAACCTGACTTTGCCCTAACGTGTAAAATGGTAAACCACGCAACATTCTGGACAACTGATTGTCGTAGTAGTAAGCGTCTTGCGTTAGTAGCGTTTTGCGAAATTGCCCAATTCATGCCAGTTAGGGTTTCTGCAGCTGCGGGCTTCCTTTTTCATTCAAGTCTAACTTATTTTCCATTGTAGCGTCGATTTCGTCATGGAATCTACCGTATTGTTCATTATCTGACTTGTGAAAGTAGTAGGCAGAAGTAGTCTTAGGAGCCATAGCTAGGAAAGCCCTAGCTAGGCAAGAGAAAGTTTAGGCAAAAAGGGAGAGGTTGCACTAGCAAGAATGAGGATACAAATAGCAAACCCTAGAAGGGTTGTACTCGCTATAGAGCACCCCACTACAGGCTAGAGCATAACATTCTGACATGACTTGCGGGAATCTTGCGGATGCCCGGAAGAAGAATAGTTGGTCGCGCTGCGGCCTCCGAGAGAATGACAATCTATAATGCCTTCACAATCTACGGAATTTTCGCCGTCAAATCGGGCCTGTCTTCGCGGACCGCTGTGACGGCATGGTCAGGTACGCATTCGAAGCCATGGCAAAGGTACGCGTTGCAAAGCATTGTCACGTACGCGTCAAGGGATGGCAAGGTGCGCGTTATACGGCATGACGAGGTACGCGTTATAAGGCATGCTGACACGTTTCGAGCCACTACTATTAGTGGTCAACTTCGCCCGTTTCAAGGCATGGTGAGATATAAACCCAAAACAAGTTAACATAAGATCAGCTGATAGAATCAGAAGCACCAAAAGAAAACAATGCGATTTCTGTTTGCAACAGCTTCAGCTACCACCGAAGGGTTTCCATGCCAATCACACTCCCTCTCCCTTTCTTCGCAGCCCCACTTCCCCCACACTCCCCCCTCCCCCTCATCCTCCTCCTTCCCCGTTACAGTCACAGAGCAACACTCAGCATCAATGGGGCACCACGCATCAAGCATGGGTCACCACCATCATTATCACACAACCAGCCCACACGGCAATTCTTTCAGCCAAACTCCATCTCAATACAGTCACATCCAGTACACTCCCAACCACGGATACAGTCACGACGAACGTGACATGCTGCGTCGGGCTGAGCGGGTGCGGCAGTAGCGTGAGAGGGACAGTCAGCCCCCGCCGCTCTTCACTGCTGTGGCTGCCGCTGCTGCGTCAGGCGAATCCTTTGTCCTCGACTTCCCTCTCGGACGGGCTGCTGCTACAAATGCTGCTACAACTGCTGCCACAGCTGGTTACACAACTGCTGCTGCTACAACCGGAGCAGCCAGGCTGCAAGCCCAGGGGAGGAGGAGGAGGCATTGCACGGTGATCATCGGGCCAGTCTCCCTGCAACAGGCCACTATAGCCGCAGGGTACCAGCTGTCTCAGAAACGCCCGAAAGGCCCCTGCAGTATGTGGCTCAAGAGAGTCTTCATAGTCCGAGTCAAGTCGGCCGCTGATTTCGCAGCCAGGGCCTCTCTCCCGCCCACCGCCACCGTTATTCTGCATTTACAGAAGGATTTGATGCTGCCTAAAGGGGTTTTGTTCGGGAGGCAGCAGTCTTGCACGATACTCATGTTGGCAAAATGGCCCGGTTACACGCTGACGGGTGGTAACCCTATGTATCCGGTGCTGCGCGTGTGGAACACGAGTAACGTCATGTCGCTGAACGTGAACTATCGCCTGCCTGTGACGGAGAGCAGCCCTGACTGCACCACCGTGCCCGAGCTCGGCAAGGCCGTCACCTGCCCCGCCATTTCCATCCATCGGTCCTACGGCGTGCAGATTGGCAAGGTGAGCCCCTCCCATGTACCTGCTTTTCACTCTCCCTTCCTTGTCGTTTATCCACACCTCTGTTGATGAACGTGAATTATAAGGTGCTAGTAACGGAGGGCATTCCCGAATGCACCTCCCCGAACTTTGAATGCTTGCGTGCGGTGAGTTGAGTGTCGCTGAACATGAAATATCACGTGCCGGTGACAGAGAGCACCACTAACTGGGCATAGGAGTGGCAAAGGTGGGCAAGGGAGTGGCAGAGCTGGGCAAGGGAGTGGCAGAGCTGGGCAAGGAGTGGCAGAGCTGGGCAAGGAATGGCAGAGCTGGGCAAGGAATGGCAGAGCTGGGCAAGGAATGGCAGAGCTGGGCAAGGAATGGCAGAGCTGGGCAAGGAATGGCAGAGCTGGGCAAGGAATGGCAGAGCTGGGCAAGGAGTGACAGAGCTGGGCAAGGAGTGGTGTGCCCCGCGACGCAGTCTTGATCCATCGATCATATTGCGTGCAGATTGACAAGGTGAGTCCCTCCATTCCATCTGCTTGTTGCGCTCCTTTCGCATGTCACTCATGATTTTATCCGTGTCTTGTTTTTTAAGCGTGTTTGTTTGTTTTGTCATGTTTGAGGCAAGCATAGAAGCGAGATGTCTCTCACACGTGCTTCCCTTCTCCACCCTCTCCCATCTCGCTTGCCAGCCCGTCTCCTCCACAGGGCACCGTCTTTGGCCCAGTTTACGTGGAGAGAAGAACAGGCACGCGCCAAGACTCACAAAAGTTCTCTTGTCTGGATTCTTCCGGTGGACGTGGTGGTGAGGTGATGGAGCAGCATAAACTCGTCTCATCCCACTCCCACACCCACATGTCTTCCAGCTCCTCATCTTTCCACGTGCCTCCACTCTCATCCCCATTCCCTCTCCTTCTCTTCCCCTCACAGCACCGTCTTTGGCCCAGTGGGTGTGCAATGGAGCATGGCCATGCCGCGTGCGGCTGGACTCACTAACGCTCACTGGAGTGGTTTCTCTCTCTTTTTCTCATCCCACACGTCGTCTCAAGCTCCCGCATGCCTCCAAGCTACCCCCTATCCCGTCTACCTCTCTCCCCCCCAGGGCAACATCTTTGGGCGAGTGGACGTGCTACGCAGCATGGACGTGCGCCTGGACTCACTCTCGGAAACCGGAGTGGCTTCCTTTATCAAGTCGCCTGGGGTGATCCGAGTGGCCCTGTGTGGGTACGGGCCGGGACTTCTCAAATCCAACATTGTCATCTCCAACAATGAGGTGTACGGTGAGTGAGTGGGATGCTTCCCAGAGTCAACGGGTGTCAACCAGAGTCAATGAGATTGAAGGTCAGTGAATGGTCCTCACTGTCCCCCCTGCCCCTTAACCTCTCTCTCCCCATTGCCCCCTTATCCTCACTCTCCCCCTGCCCTCCTGCCCCATGGTCTTGCACAGAGGAGCAGTGGGCACAGCAATAACAAACAACAACATCCATGGCTATATCTTCTCATCACCATGCTCTTTCCCGCTTTTTCCCTTAACCCACCCCCCCCTCTTTCCTTGCCTGCAGGGGTGAACACTCCCGTTGTGCTGCACAGGGGAGCAGAGGGCATAGCAGTCGCCAGCATCTACATCCATGACCATTGTTTTTGCGGGAAGTCGGCGTGCATGACAGCAACGAATGCATGCTTACTCGCATCAACTCCAATTGATCTCGTCGTTTCCCCTCCGCACCCCTCCCCTCCCCCCTCTCCTTCTTATGCCAAATCCCCCCATTTGCCCCCTCTTCTTGCTTCGCCCTCTTCCGCTCTCTTTCCGTTGCCTGCAGGGGTGAACACTCTGACTGTCTTGCACAGGGGAGCGGCGGTGGGCATCACTATGACCAACAAGTACATTCACAACTACCTTATCGTTGGGATTCACTGCAGCGCTGCAGCGCCAATGTGCATTGCAGCGGTGACTGCATGCTCACTCGCATCAACTCCAGCCTTGTTTATTCTAACAACGGGGATCAAGTCTCGGCAAGGATTTACCACTGTCGTAGTGACTGAACTCTCCTTTTCTGTACTCTTCCCCCCTTCTTTCCCTTGACTGCAGGGGTGAACACTCCGATCCTCTTGCTCAGGGGAGCAGTTGGTGTAACCATCAGGAACAACTACGTGCACGACTTCATATTCGCTGGAATCAAGTGCGGTGCCGACGTGCATTACAGCTTTGCGTGCATGCTCAGTCGCATCAACTCCAACCTTGTGGTTTCCTCTGGAAGGAATCTAAACGGGGATCACGACTCGGCTGGGATCTACTTCTACACGCACTGGTTCAGTCCCGGGAACTCGGCGCTGTGCAACTACGTGTTCAACGGTGACCACTGCTACTATCTAGACCATTGCTCGTCGGCCGTGCTAGGGGTCCCCCAGCGGGGGATCTCAGCGGCCTCCGGAAACTGCTGACGCCAGGCGTCGGTCAGGCGGCCAAAGCAGCGGCGGGCTGTGTGGGTGCCTCCACACCTCTCCCCCGCACGGTCACCGGTGCGAAGAACGTAGGGGCAGGGACCAAACGCACCACCACGCTGACGCTGCAAGTACCACTCACGGAGCTGCTGAAGGGCGGGGACGATGCGAGAGCGCTGCTGCTGCTGCTGCTGCTGCTGTTGCTGCTGCTGCTGCTGGCGCTGGCCACCCCCAGAGCTGCTCCGCTGGGACGAGCCACTCCGACCCCCGCCGCCACCACCACCCCCGCCTCCACCGCCACCCCCGTCTCCACCGCCACCGCCCCCACCGGTACCCTCGCCCCCGCCTCCTCCGCCACCGCCTCCGCCGCCACCTCCGCCTCCACCTGTGAAACTATGAGCAGAGGAATGAATTGACTAAGTCAGAGTTGGGTACAAATACAACCCTAGCAAACTGTACCCCATATGTGCTACCCCACTATAGCCTACAAACATGCATCAGCTATAATAATCTGACACACCCCCATAGGCAAAGTGGGGGAGAACAAGGGGTCACAAGACCAGTCAAGCAAAGCAAAACAAGCTCAGGGTGGATCACAAAGTCACCACACAGTCCGAGCACAAGAGCAAGGCCAGAGGCCAGTTCACATGCAGGAGTAAAGACATATATATAAAACTAGACAAGCAAGAGCAGGTATATATATGTCAAAGTACAAGTAAAGTCAAGAAGAGAGCAAGTGAGGCAAGACAGGTACAAGACCCAGCTGGGTACAAAAGCGCTGATGGTCGCAAGGCGCAAGTGCCTTGGTGAACACATCAGCAGTGTTGGCCTCAGAGGCCACGTAAGCAAGTCGCAACTGACCACGCTGCTGCAGCTCACGAGCAAGGAAGTAGCGGAGAGCAATGTGCTTCGTTCTGTGCTCCAAGCGCTGCTCTCGACACAAGGCCAACATGGCCTTGTTGTCTACGTACAGCACTGGAGGAGAACGAGGCAGCTCTCCAAGGTCAGTCAGCAGGTAGGTGAGCCAGCGAAGCTCCTGTGCAGCCATGGCCCCGGCGTAGATCTCAGCCTCACAACTGGAGCCGAGAACCGAAGACGAGCGAGTAGACCGCCACGAGACAGAGCCGGAACCAAGGCTGAAGGTGTAACCCTGTGACGACCGCTGCGTAGCCTGGTCGTCAGCCCAAGAAGCGTCTGCGTGCCCAGTAAGGACCACTGGACTCCGCCCTCCAAGCACTAGCCCCATGCCCGACGTACTGCACAGGTAGCGCAATACCCTCTTCGCTGCAGCCATGTGCTCTGGTCGGTGTCTCCCAGGAGCAACATAGCGTGCAAGGATGCTCAGAGGGTATGCAAGGTCAGGTCGAGTGCAGGTCATCAGGTACATGAGGCAGCCAACAAGCTCTGCATACGGACCACTCGACTCTACGGACTCATCCGAAGGCAGAGCTGAGAGTGAGTGGCGAGTAGGCAGAGGAGTGGCCTGAGGCGAGGAGTACGTGAAGCCGAAGCGCTGAAGGACCTGCTGCACCATGTGTGACTGAGTCAGGGTAATGGTGCGGCGTGCTCTGTCCCGAGTGATCTGCAAGCCAAGGTAGCTGCGCAGTTCACCCAGGTCTGTGCACGTGTGTCTCTTCAGCAGCTCGGACTTCACGTAGGCGAGTCCAGCAGTGTCCGCTGTGGCAAAGACCAAGTCGTCGACGTACACGAGGATGTAGAACGGCGGCAGGGAAGTGTCGGTGCGAAGAAACAGCGACGGGTCAGCAGTAGAAGGAGCAAACCCAAGAGCCGCAAGCGTAGTCCTCAGTGTGTCGTGCCACTCACGCGGTGCCTGGCGGAGACCGTAGACTGGCCGTCGGAGGCTCCACTGGGTGCCAGGAGGGAAAGTCCCAGTGAAGCCAGGCGGACGGCGCAGCCAGATCTCCTCGTGCAGGCTACCCTGCAGGAACGCAGTGCTGAAGTCGAGAGAGTGAAGCTCGTAGTCGCGCTGAGCGGCAATGTGCAGCAGCACCCGAAGAGTGGTCATCTTCGGGGTGGGAGAGAAGGTCTGAAAGTAGTCAACTCCCTGCCGCTGACTGAAGCCACGAGCCACGTAACGCGCCTTGAAGACAGGCGGCGAGCCCGGCGGCCGCTTCACCCTGAAGATCCACATGCCACTGACGATGTTCGCCCCAGGAGGGGGAACCGCGTCAACGTAGGTGCCTGTGGACTTCCAGGAAGCCATCTCTGCATCCATAGCTGCCTGCCACTGAGAGGAGTAGGGACCCTCTACGGCCTCCGCGTAAGAACGCGGAGTCGGGATGTCTAGTGCATCCGGGTCTCCCTCAGGGGCTAGCAGTACAGACGCGAGACGAGGTGAAGCAGCGGCTAGACACTGGAACTCCTCCTGCCTGTCCTCTAGGACGTCCGTGCCAAGGGCACACTCACCCCCGACGGACGGAGGACAGGCGGACTCAGACTCAGCGACAAGACGAGCAGCGTAGTCTAGACGACAGCGCGCAGCAAAGTCGACAAGCTCAGTGACAAGGGCAGACGCAGCAGACGACTCGAAGGAAGGGTCAGTGACAGCAGTAGCAAGGAGACGCGTGACAGTAGGACTGGCAGCACGAAGAGAGTCCGACTCCGGGTCGGCAAGAGCAGGAAGAGAGGAAGCAGGAGGAGAAGGCAAAGGGGCACGCAGAGGAGCAGTGGACGGACGCAGTGACATCCGGTGCGTGCCAGGGACAGGAGGAGGACGCTGACGCGACCCGCGACCACTAGCGCGCTCAGTACGAACAGGCGACGCAGGACGAGACGCAGGCTCACGACGCTCAGTAAGACCTCCAGTCGGACCAGCGTAGGGAGAAGGAGCAGGCAAAGGGGAGGCAGGCTGTAGCTGTGGCTGTGACCGGACAGGCTGCGGACCCTCTAAGGAAGGAGGAGGAGGTGTAAGACCAAGAACCTGCTGCAGGAGCGGAACGAAGTACGGTCGAGGCCGCGCGGCGACGCCAGAAACAGCAGGAACAGCACCAGCACCCCCGGCAGGAGCACCCACTCCAGCAGCACCTCCAGCAGAACCACCAGAAGCTCCAGAACCTCCAGCAGCAGCACCAGGAGCACCGTCAGTCGGACCACCAACCGCAGGCTCAGCGCCAACGTCCTCAGCAGGACCAGCTCCAGGAGAACACTCAGACCCAGCAGCTCCAGCACCCACAGGACGAGCACCGCCAGGTCGCGTGGCAGCAGCGCCCTCCGCAGCCGAAGAACCACCAGCACCAGCGGCACGCCTCCAGCGCCGGGCAAACCACTCACGTAGCTCCTGTGGAGAGAGCGGCTCCCGGTGAGACGAAGCACCCCCAGGCACAGCACCTCCAGGCTCGGCACCTCCCGGCTCAGCACCCCCAGGCTCAGTACCCCCAGACACAGCACCCCCAGGCACAGCACCCCCAGGCTCAGCACCCCCAGGCTCAGCACCCCCAGGCCCAGCACCCCCAGACTCCGCACCCCCAGGCTCAGCACCCCTAGACTCCGCACCCCCAGGCTCAGCTCCCGCAGCAGCACCGGAGTCACCAGTGACCTCGACAGGCTCGACCGCGTCTACCTGAGACACACCTGAAGGGGCAGGACCCTGAGGGGGGGAGGGGGACTACTGGGGGGGGACCTGGTACCAAGAAGAGGGGGGGTGGGGGGAGGGACGGAGTGCGGTAGGGGAAGAGGCGGTAGTAGGGTACCGACTCGTCGAACGTGACGTCCTGGGAGGACAGAACACGTCGAGAGGTGGGGTGGTAAAACTGCCACCCAGGGGCGTCGGGGGGGAACCCGAGGAAGACGCAGGGAGAAGCACGAGGGGACAGCTTGTCCGCAGACAGGTCGCGAACAAACGCCCGAGATCCCCAGACCCGGAACGCCGACGCATCGCCAACCTTCCCCGTCCACAACAGAGCTGGGGAGGTCTCCGGTCGAGAGACCCTGGGGTGGAGGTTGATCTGGTGCGCAGCGTACCTGACCGCAAACGGCCACAGAAAATGGGGAGCAGCCGCATGCATCATGGACGTACGAGCGACGTCCATGACCATGCCAATGCGGCGCTCAGCGATCCCATTCTGCTGTGGTGAGTCCGGAAGCGTGAAGGTCTGACGGATGCCTC